TGCAGCGGGCGTAGATATAGAGGTGTTTAAGGCGCATTCGACACGACATGCCTCAACGTCAACAGCGTTTCGTCGTGGAGTATCTCTAGATTCTATTCGAAAAGCGGCGGGATGGACGAAAAAATCCACAACATTCGCTAAATTTTACAATAGGCCGATGCATGATCCGCATGAATTTGCAACATCGGTACTAAACTGTTCAATAAGTCTTGATTGAGTTTTGTATTGTTTTACATATTACTTTATCTGCGCCTGTAGGATAACTCTCACTTATCCCGGTCATTTTAAGTGGGATAAGAACTTAATTACCACACTCAGTGGGATAAGAACTTCATTACCACACTCAGTGGGATAAGCCCTTGTCAAAACAATGTATGATCAAAAATCAACTATCAAGATTATATATTGTAAACATTAACGTATGATGGAAGAGTTCCAGACTCACTCATGACATAAGCAAAGAAATCAGAAGCAAAATTTTTGACGTATAAATTTTCTTGACGTTAGGATTTTCTTGTTTCTATGGCGTCGAAAACTGCTAACTATGCTACTTCGATTGAAATTTAAAAAAATGCATCAAATTTATTTTTCGTTTTTAGCAGTAGAAGAACAGTCGCAGATAAAAAGTTGTATTTAATACTTGGGCTAACGGCCATTAACATACTCATGCTCTTACAATAGCTCGGGCTAACGCCCTCGTATGCGCAATTGTCGCATTCGTAAGTTAATGAGGCCGTTATCCCACTGATTAAATAAATAACTATTATCGTATAAGTTTGATAACATCGTTAAAAAATTTAATCAATATATATATATATATATATATATTGTACAATTTTTTATAATTTCGCAAATTCATATACTAGGCGAGAGTACTTACTCGGTATTTCACACCTAGCTTTTTCGTTTATTTGCCGAAAATCTTTAAACATCTACATAGTAAAGTAAAATATCTTCGGAATGGATACCGAAATATAATTACGATCGAACTTCACAGGCGAGTTCGATTGATCGTTCAATTATATACTTAAATACCTGACACCATGTATTATCTTCGGTTCTAATTACAAATAACAAGACATTGTAATTAAACAGTTACTTTATTACAAGAACGTAAACCAAAAACACATTAACGTAAACACGCCGCCATTCCAGTTCACCAACGACCTTATTCACCTTGTGGTAGGTGTGTTGCCTAACATCTAACAATATTATACAATCTATGGCTATTTTAATCACAAACGATGTCGCGGAGTTGTGTTCATGGACAGGGGCGAGGAATAACTATGAAATTAAAAACAAGCAATTTTATACCGTAAGTTTCATCAAAATATTTTAAATTTGAAATTCAAACTACTCTAATGTATATTAGTAAATTAGTAAATAACAGCATAAGTGAGTGTTTTCACTTTAATAACTTCATAGGTAGTTTTCCACTAAAAAATTTTTTACTTACCAACCGATTTTTCATTGCTAAGGCATAAGCCAAATTAAAATAAGTATATTTGATTTTAATGTAAATAAGGTAAACCTATGATATTTTGCCTTGTACCTATTTCTTTTTTTAGTGGAAAACTGGAAACAAAAACTTCACAAAGTAAAAGTATTGGCAATTTATTTTTTAAAAGGAATACTTCTTTGAGAATTGAAGCAAAATAGTTCAACTGTATGTATTGTGTTACAGGTGCAGTCAATAAGAAAACTGGCTTTACCGCCAAAGAATTTGAAACTGCAATAAAGGATTGGTTGAGGCATGCTCGACAAAGAAAAGAAAGAGCTGCTGAGAAAAATAAAAAGAAAAGTAATATATATTCATTATTGCCTGACTGTACAGAGTGAGAGAAATGACTGAAGTGTTTTTATGCTAATCCTAACGGAATTAATTAGGTATGAGAATGTTTTTAACTTAAATGTCTGTACATGCATTTCAAAAAACTGTAACACATCTTTCATTGTTATACATTATTTTCTATTTTTTCACTTAGGGACACTGCAATTATGTACAAGTCGATGAATAATATATCTGATCGACATAGGCGAAGGCTATTGCAAAAACATAGGGAACTATTTCGACAACAAATTCGTACACCTGATTCAAGTCACACGCCTAATTTAGTACCGTCTACTTCAGAATATCATTCTGGCGAAGTTGTGGGCATGCCTAATTTAGAAGTGGATGATTCTAAAATTGAAAATGATTTTACCAATCACATTCATTTCTCTAACAGTATAGAAGACACTGTAACTTATCTTCCAACTGGTATTAAACCACCCAATGTTGATATTGTAAATAATGATGCACATGACACTTTTGACGTTGTTGATGACTTATTTAAAAATGCTACAGAAATAAGTATTTCTGAAAAACTTCGCAGTTGGGCTATTAACGAGAATATTACTCTTAGCTCATTGTCAAAATTGTTATGTATCTTGAAGACAGAAGGAATCAAAAACATTCCATCTGATACTAGAACTCTTCTAGCAACACCAAAGTCTGTACCAATGAAATATCAGTTGGCGGGAGGAAATTATTGTCACTTAGGTTTTAGTAAAGGTATATTGTGGTCACTAGATATGTATTGCAAGCAGAAAGTAGATGTTACCGATGCTACTTGGGTGTTACTAAAAGATTATTAAAATTTTGGATTTCTGGTGACGCAAGTATGCGGTTTCCACAAAAAATTTTAGAACAGATCGATAGCAAATATTTAAGTTTGAAAAAATTTATTCCGTGTGAATTTGCAAGAAAACCCAGATCATTGTTAGAAATAGACCATTTTAAAGCAAACGAGTTAAGACAAATATTATTGTACACAGGGCCATTTATTTTTAAAGATTTTTTAAAAGATGATAAATACTATCATTTTCTCTCTCTTTCATGTGCAATTCGAATACTGTGTACTAAAAATGTTAGCGAGCAAAATATTGCATATGCTGAAGAATTATTAAAATATTTTGTGACGGTTTACGATAAATTATACGGTTCTCAATATATAACATACAAAGTCCATAATTTAATTCACCTGTCCAATGATGTTAGAAATATTGGGTGCTTAGACTCTTTCAGTGCTTTTAAGTATGAAAATTTTATGTATACAATACTTCAGAAATTAAGAGCCGAATTCAGAGTCCTTCCTAATTTCAAACTCACACTCAACTAGTTAGTCACTCATTTGTAACTCAAGTTAGTGCGAATCCTGCTCATTCTCACTTTTGGTATTCAGAGAACATCTGTAATGAGTGACTAATTTGAGTGGGGTTTTAGTATGGAATCTGTCAAAAATATTGTTAGGGGAACGATTGGTAGTGGAAATTTTACCAAGTAACTAACAAACCGCTCTGGAAACGCTAACTTCAGCATAAACGGATATTTAATTTGAACTTATTTCTGCCGTTTTCTTATCGTCATAACTATGAACGCCAATAAAAAACCATTTATGACCGGAGATGAGAAGATTTTTAGCATTGGAAATGCTTATGTTTTGTATGGGTTTGAAGTTACTGGTTAGTCGAGCAGAAAAGAAGACAATTGGTGTCGCATCAAGTGATGATTGTCCTGTACTTGACTGCAATCGGTAGATTCAGGAAAAGTCGCGGATACTGTCGATACGGTAGATACTTACTTAACAGAGCGCAAGGGTTTTGTTAATTCGAATCTAAATTTATCGCACATCGCCCGTGATGGTATTACACGCATGTTACGACACGAGCAAGCTTGCGAGCGAGTGGAGCAAGTGATACTTGTACGGTTATTATTTCCAATGCCTCCGATGGTTGCAAGGATTGCGAAATCTGTGAATTTTTTTTAAGAAATTGTGACCCGGTATATTAACATCGTCGAATGTAAGAAGACCGATGCTGTGTCCGTGTCACAACGAAAAATGGTCTGGCAGACAATCGTGTCCTTACTTACTAAGATAATGTCTATAACAACACACTTAAAAACTACTTTGCAATAAAATATTCTAACAAACACAGGAAACACATTTGACATAACCAAGTTATTTTAAATTAGTGACACTTAAGGGTAGTCCAAAGCTGACTTACATCGTACTCATCTCTTACTCACTAGTTAGTAAGATTTTAGTCACTCATTCAGTCTAATTTGTTTCTGAATACCAATGTCAGAGTTTAGGTTGAAATTAGTAGGATCTGAGTGTGAGTTTGAAATTAGGAAGGACTCTGAATTTGGCTCTAAGTGTCAGTGGAAGACCCTTGCAACAAATATACAAGCGCTTGACAGAAGAGTCTCTTGTACCTAATCCAAACAATATAGTTGAATCGAAATTGATTATTTCTCGTGATATAAAAAAAATTAAATTTACCAATTTTACAATTTCAACTAAATCACCTGATAATGTATGTTTGTTAAAAAACGAACAAGTTGGATATGTTACCAATATTCAGGAACAACACGGAAAAATGTTGTTTTACCTTAACACTTTTCAAAAAAGAAAATCATTTTTTGAAGTCCCATGCACTTCTCAAGATTTTAATATACATCTCTGTGAGACTAATGTAATTGAAACTGCAGTTGTTGAATTTCCTGATATAATAAGGAAGTGCATGTTGATTCCTTTGAACGCTAATCAGTCACTGTGTGTGCCACTCATTCACACCCACACGTTTGAACATTTATAAATACAGCAAGTTGCATATCGTCGCCTTCATGCGTAAATGTCGTAAGTCCAATTTTAAAGCCGTTTTACATTACACAATAAATTGCACAAGAAGTTGCACAATTTTTGAGCCTAGAAATATTGTGTAATATCAAACGGAAAATTGTATGCGATATCCAAATTGTTCAAGATATTTAGAACATGCTCTATTTTCATACAATTTTTCGTTCAATTTCTCAAGTACGCATGCGTTATCGTGTGGAATGGCTTCACACACACTTCACACTTCACAGCTGATCGCTGATGGTGATGAGTAATTATTGTGTACTGTGTTTCATACCGTTATATTACTTATATTATCATTAAAACTTGAAATTTGAGATGTCGTGGTCGAGTGATCAGATATCATGTTTGAGTGAAGAATATAGGAAGTATCCAGTTCTTTACTTTGTTAAACATAAAGATTATCATAACAAAGCATTGCGAAATGGTCCTCTACAAACAATTGCTGCAGCTTTACAAAAACTGCGGCCCAATGTGACAGAGGCAGATTTGCAAAAGAAATTTTTGGGATTACGTACCACTTACAGCAATGAACGTAGAAAGGTTTTGGCTTCATTACGTAGTGGAATGGATAGTGATTCAGTAAGTACTTACGTCATTATTGTTCCCACAGGTGTTATACAGAAACTTCGTAATTTATTTTTAGGTGTATCAACCTAGTCTGTGGTATTATGCGAAAATGGAATTTTTGAATAATCATTTGGCAATACGAACATCCGTTTCGAATTTAGATGCATTAGTCTCCAACACTGAAGAATATGTAGTGGAAGATAATGTACTATCACCTGTATCTGATACTGGGACAATAACGCCTCGTGACGAAACTCCTGCTTTGTCAAGATCGGGCACTCCGATTGCGAGAAAAAGGAAGGCAACCAAAAAAGATAATGACAATGAACTACTTTCACAGATGACGAAGCATCTTGGAAGTGTTGTCAGTACATTAAATAATCCTAAAGAAACAAGTAATGATGATGATATATTTGCAAGTTTTATTTCATCACAACTTAAAATGATATCAGATCAACGAGTAAAAGCAAATGTTAAATACGAAATTCATGGCATTTTGCATAAAGCCATGAACAATTGAATGTAATAAAAGTAATTTGTTCAAACAATGCCTACTGCTCTATCTTGCCATTCCACTCTACCCACTGAATTAAAGTATTCACAAAATTTGTCTCTAATGTTAATAGCTTCACGGCTGCTATGACTTCCACCTTGTGATGCAATACTTTCCAGATGACATTCTTCTTCAGTTCGTGTATAAAATGGATTGTTTGATGCTAGGTGGTTGTGTAATATACAACACGTTAATGTGATCATTTCAGCTTTTTCAGGGCTTAGGTTTATTGTGTTTAATAGAATTCTAAATCTGTTCGCTAAAATGCCAAAGGCATTTTCTACAATGCGTCTGGCACGTGAAAGCCTGTAATTAAATATTCTCTTTTCTCTAGTCAAATTACGAGAAGGATATGGTTTCATTAGCCGGCAGGACATAGGAAATGCATCATCCCCTACCATGCAAAATGGTACTTTCAAAGTTGTTCCTGGTAATGTCTTATCGTCAGGAAAGTTTAATAAGTTGTTATCAATGTAATGTTTCAAACTGCTTTCTCTAAATACACACCCATCACTGTTCCTTCCGTTTACTCCTACATCCACGTATATAAACTTATATTTTGCGTCAACAAGAGCAAGAAGTACAATGCTGTGATGGCCTTTATAGTTGTAATAGAATGAACCGGCACTTTGAGGAGCTTGGAAGTTTATGTGTTTGCCATCTATGGCACCTATGCACATGGGAAAATTCCATTGTTCTTCAAAATCTTTTGCTATACATTCCCATTCACTAACAGTTTGGGGCATCTAAAAGTATACAATATGCATAAAAAGAAATTCATTAAATCTATTTTAGCAACCTTTAAATACTGGTTCATAAACCCTTTTATTATTGCTTGACACACCTCGCGAATAATTAAACTAATGGTACTTTCATGAATGCGAGTTGCAAACATTAGATCTCTGTAAGTATTTCCACATGCTAAATACCGCAGAGTAACTGCTAATCTAAAAGCACTTTTATATAATGTTTAAGTATTTAAAACGGAAGCATTCTTTACCTTTGTTCGGCCGGTATACATTCTCTAAAATGTGTGTTGACCTTTTTGATATCTTTATATCAATATATTTCGAAAACCTCTCAAGAAACATCCGAATCGGTACTAGATTCTGATTAAGTATTTGCGTTAATGTTAATTATATAGTATAAAATGTGCATCTAAAAAAATAAACAGTGACTGGGATATTTAATATCCAGAACGTTTTTAATATAGGTACACAAGTAGGGAGATACGCTACTTTCTGCCTTATAAACCGCGTGTATGCATATGCGCAAGCGATAATCGTCCTTACTCAGTCATAGGCGCGCGTTTATAAATAAATCGATACAAAACTTTTCGGTAATGTGAAGTGAATTACAAATAGTAGTTGAGAATGTCCAGAATACGCTCCACAACGTTATTAATGGATATTTTTTGATCAGGGTGCAAATAAATTAGATACGACGAGTTGAAGCGCTAATTTCTCAAAATATTACGGTCGAGTTCGTTAGACGCCGGCGAAAGTTAAGATTCCTCATTTAATCCCGTGCTTTTCGGTCGTAAAAAACACTAAATAATAAATAGTTGTAGTGGTTTCACATACCTGAGCTATGGGCAGTGCAAAGTATATATTCAATAAATTCAAAATATGCAAAAAAAAATTTGGGGTGTTTTTTACAATTTACCCTCTAGAGCCACCCCGTACAGGACGATTTTTGACGCCTTCTGGATTTTGATATTTCTAATGATCATGCATCATTTAAAATTGGTTTCAGCTTTTAACCCCGAAGTGTAAACGAAAATCATTTCTAGACGACTTTGGCGATTCTGTGCCCTCTACTATTGCAACCATTTCTCTTGCCAAGTTTTGCGGTTTTTCTTTTTTAATTTTCTACACTGCCTTTGTCTAAGTTGTCTGACCAGTAATACAGAACTTACAACAGCAACAGTGATTAAAAGTTTTTGCTTTAAACTACTCATTATGAAAATAAAAATAACAAACAATTAAACTGCGCATGATCACGTACAATAAATTTTGTATGTATATCAAACGAACAAACTTCGCACACAACATATTTCCTACAACATTTTTTGTCTAAAAAAATTATACAACTTTTTGGCTCATTTATTGTGTAATGTATTCAATAATGATATTTATAAACTTATACTATAGTTACTTTGTGTAGGTCCATTTTATTCTTTATAAATAAGTAATAAAACTCAATCTACACTAGAAAACGTATTTATTGCTGACTCGTTTCGACAATTTTAAATTGTCATTAATTAATTAATTAATTAATGACTTATTACTTCATTAATTTATTCATAAAATCGAATTTGTTGCAATGCTTAATTATACATCAAGCAAAATATTACTAATTAATTAGTTGCAAAAAATTATCAAGAACGCGTCAAAAACCACTTTTAAAAGTGATTTAAATCATCTCCTGTAAAATTTGTCATTTAGAACTTACGACATCTACACATGAAGGCGACGATATGTCGATTTTGCTTGCAATCTTTTAAGTTATGTATGATATTCAATTCCGTTTATTTATGTGTTAAGTAAAAAAAATTATTATAATCCTATGTGCCTGTAAAATTATATGTGATTAGCTTTTATGCCAAAGATTGTTTAGTTTGTTCTTTTATCATTATTTTTATTTTTTTAATTATGTGTACTTCTACCCATATATAAATTAGTTTTTCCATTTCTTTACTTTTTTTGCTACTGTTAGGATCTTTTTTTTGTTTGTTTAAAAAAGTATTAGTTTAGTTTGTTTTATAGTCATCTGTGTTTGTATTATTTAGAATTTTGTTGTATTACTATTTAAATATTATATTTGTTATAAACGTACTGTTAATATTTATAAATATATGTATACATCTATATACAATTATTGATTTTATTTATAAAAAAAACGTCCCAACCAAAAACTTTTTTTACATTTCAGAGACGTAACTATTTTAGTTGCATAATATTAATACTGTTACTTTAATAGGTCCAAATAAGTAATTTGCTGTAAAGTTACTTTTAAAGATTAAATGAAAATTCCATTGCATAGTCTAATTTAGGTCGCATTGTGTAATATAGAACTATTCACAATGTGATAACTATAGGTTTCACATGTGAAGTGGCATGGGAATGTATTGGCAAGGTCCTTGTGTGTTCCGCGAGTGCGTTAAATAATTCTTACATTTAAATGCACAATGTGAAGTCCCACCACATCGCATGTATATAACTTCAAGCGGACATTTGATGGTTGCTGTCAAGTTAAATAAACCAAAATTAGGATATCTCTTGCTACCAAACATGTGAGTTTTATAAAACTTTTACGGAACACTTTGTGCTTGCTGGGAAATGTAACCGTCACTTCGGTAAGTTATTTTCCAGTTTTACGATTCATCATATATAAAAACTATTTTATTAGGGTACTGCACAAAGCTGCCTCGCAGAGAAAACCGACTTGCTTGAAATGCTTCATTGCATGAAAATGAAAGCAGTTTAAACAATCATACCAACGGTCGAGGCAACTAACTGCAGCAATTGTTCTGAAAAATTAAGTTCCGTAACAGCCGAAAGAGATCGACTGCAGAGAAAGGTTTATCGCTTACAGAAAGTAATTACAAACTTAAAAAAACACAAAGAAAAACTTGAAAGTATGAACCTATTTAACCCAGATCAAATTGAGCATTTGGAGAACAAAAAAGTATCCAAGTGGTCCAAAGAAACTGTACGTGAAGCTCTTCAAGTGAGATATGCCTGCGGCATACACGGTTATAACCATTTGTTGTCTCTGGGTTGGCCATATCCTTCTTACGAGAACCTGTGTCGACGAGTATGGAAAATCCCAATAAGCTGTTGCATAAACGAAGTTGTGATCGACTTGATGGGTGCTAAAGTTGCAAGCCTGCCTGATCATACAAGATATTGTAATCTATCCATCGATGAAATGGAGCTATCAGGAAAATTGGAATTTGATAAAGGTTTGTAAAGTTATTACAATACAATAGACATGTGTGGAGTGTGCCATCAATTGGTTGAATATTTTATTATCTAACCCGTTATGTAATTTGCGAGGTAATTGCATAGATCGGTTAAAACTAATTCTAATTTATTTGCAGGTCTACAACAAATTATAGGCAAGAACTCTGTAGGGAATACTGAAAAAAACCGTACAAAACTAATGGTGTTGATGGCTCGTGGAGTATCCATCAAATGGAAACAAATTATAGGTGTACATCTTACTGATAGTAAAGGCGTGCCAGGGAAAACATTATGGGAGTTTGTGAAGGAAGCCACAGTAGCTGTAGAGAAGGCAGGCTACAAGGTTACTGGAATAACATCCGACATGGGTTCCAGTAACTTAAGTATGTGGAAACATCTGGGCATAAATGCTCGCAAACATTCTATACGAAATACATTCATATCGCATCCTGTGCTGTGCGTGAACATGAACAATTTTATATATTTGCAGATGTTCGCCATCTACTAAAAAATTTAAAAGCACTGTTCTTAAAACAGAATTTAATTCTTTCAGCGAGCACACTGCAAAAATATGGATTGCAATCAAACACTGTGTCAGTTGATCACATTAAACAATATTTTGAAATCAATCCAACAAATACCACGTTCAGTTTGGCTCCACATCTTGTGCAGTTAAAGCACTTGTTAAACCCCAATACTTTTGAGCAAATGAAAGTTATATTTGCAACCACCATATTTTGTGAAAAAACATCATCAGCCTTACGAACAGCTCACTGTTATGGTTTATTACCAGATGAGGTTCTTACCACTTGCTGGTTCATAGAACAAGTATGCAGGTGGTTTAACACTATGACAAGTCGGCACTTTAAAACTTCCATTGCAAGAAAAAGTATGACTGAGAAACATCAATTTCTGCAGGAGTTTATGATTGTAATTGAAGAAATGAGTGCACGTGACCAGCGTTGGAAACCATCCCAAACAGGAATTCTCATTTCGACAAGTAACGTGATCCATTTGTCAGAGTCCTTGATTTCCAACAATCTACTCAGTTTTTTTATGACATCTAGGCTCACTCAAGATGCCTTAGAAAATGTATTTTCAAGAGTGCGGTATAAAGGGACTGTGCATCCATCACCTTTACAAGTACTCCGGGCAGTGAGACTAATATCAATAGCACAATTTACCAATGACATATCAACGGGAAATTATGCAAAAGATTTAGATCAACATTATTTAGACTTTTTATCATCTCCTGTAAAGACGAAAAAAAGCATCGCTGAAGAAATTAAGGACGATGGGAGATCCAAACTTATTAAATATTGATTTTCACATACTGGAGATTGATGCATTGCACCACTTTACAGGCTATGTTTTAACAAAAATTTTGGATTTGGAAGAATTCTATTTTATTTTGAATTATTTATGTGTTTCGCTATAGTTGGTATGCAGCTAGCATCTCAACTATTGGAGAAAATATGTGCGCATAAAATGAACGTTTCTAAAAATATTCAATCATTAATCGTTTATGCAAACAAACATATTAGTGGCAATGTACTTCCTGTATGCGAATGTAATTTTTCATATTTGTATTCTGCAACATTTATCAATTGCAGGTTACAATTTTGGCTAAAAAACTTAAACACAAATTCCCAATCATCTGTTGCGCACGGTTCAAAAAGTGTAAATGAATTAACAAAAAAAAACATTAATTAGTTTAAGATTTTCCTTCATTTTAAGTGTCTTTCTCTATGACTACGTTTACACCACATGACCGTAGTGGATCGTCTACACGGAATTGAATTTTTTTTAGACATCACTTAAAGCTAAATTTGCATTTATTTATTATTAAGTGTAAATGAAAGCCGTATAATTTATTTATTTTTATTTATTTATTATCCCTCTCTTAGTTTTGGGCCCTCAACAGGCATGCGCCCAATTACAGAGTGACCCGCATAATGCTATTTGGAGGTGCCTCTGAAGAAGGTCTTAAGTTGGTCTCTATACTACTCCGGTATTTACCTTACGAATTAGGAAAACTGCAGGAAAACCTAATTCGGAGTAGCCGGTAGAATGCTCGGAACTGGTCTAAGGTAATTTACATCTTCGCCACAGATGAAAAATTCACCTCGACCCAGGTTCGAACACCCGACCTCCGCATTTATAACCCAACGCTCTTACCACTGAGCCATAAAGCCGGCCGATAATGTCTAATATCCGGTCAAGAAAAGAGCAGATAATAAAAAAAGTCCTACTTTGAACATTTTAGGGATTGACGAGTAATTTCGACGTATCCACTTGAAATTGCCATGGCATGTACACTCGCAAAAGTAGGTTCTAACGTAGTGAATTCCGTACATCCATTTCAAGTTACGGCGTAAACGTAGTCTATGACATTGTCATGCATATGTGTAACAATTTATAACAAAAATAACTGAAATTATTTTCACTTTCTCTGTTGCATAAGCTTAATGTAAGTTAACAAATTTGTATGAAATTATAATAAAGGCTCATTATGAACCCTGGTGTATGATTAACTAACCTCTTACCTGTCAATTAGTGTAATCTAATTTAGAAATAAAGCATATAATTTACATTTTTCACATACTTTGTGTAAGGATGCATAGGTATATATTACATACTAATTTGAATTTGGCGCCAAATTTTTACCTACAAAATGGAAGGTTGACAATACCTCCTTTTAAAGTATACCTTAATCAAGAGTATTTAAAGCTTCCCGTACTACGCGGGTACTATAAAAGCTACTCTTTACGCGATCTGAATGGTGTTCACACGACTTTAGTTTACCCTGAGATTCACATACCCACGACTACAGTGCCCTCTATCCGTGACCACCCATTTTGTATTGAAAGCATAGGGCTAATAGCAGTCCATGTACTATATGGTCTAAGGGGACAACTTACGTGAATTCCAATTGCAACGAAGATAGAATCTCGCTAAATGAAAATGACCTCGGGTCATCGTTTATCGAGAATTCCGAAAAGGATGATGTTATGTTAGATGAAGTAAGCATAGACGAAACGGATAATGCGAGAGATAATATAACAAGAACTCGGTCAGGCAGAGAAGTAAAGGTTCCGTCACATATGTCCGAATATGAAATATATTCAGCGTTTTGTTTATTGAGTGAATCAGATCCAACGAGTTACAATGATGCTGTCGAAGATATCGCGTGGGAAAAAGCATTTGAGACCGAGCTGAGATCACATAAAGAAATTGATACGTGGAGTGAAGCAGAACTACCAAACAATGTAAGGCCGATAGAAACGAAGTGGATTTTAAAACGAAGGATAATGGACTGAGAAAGGTGAGCCTAGTGGCGAAAGGTTATCAAGAAAATGTTCCATCGTTATACGCGCCCGTTCCAAGGTTATCTAGTTTGAGAATGATATTGTCGATCGCACTTCAAAATTGTTGGGAAATCAAGCAACTGGACGTGCCAACTGCATTTCTACATGGAAGTTTATATTAAGTGATGTGTACATTAAAAGTCCGGAAGGTTACCATAAAAATTGTGTATTAAAATTAAACAAGCCGTTATATGGTCTTAAACAGTCTCCTAAGTGCTGGAATGAACGAGTGAACAATTTTTTGATAAATTTAGGTTTTAAACGTTCGACAAGTGATTTGTGCATTTATTTTAAACCACATTTAATTCTCTTAATTTATGTTGACGATATTATAATTAGTACAGGTACTTCCAACGACATACTGCAGATCGAATCCTTTTTGGTACAAGAATTTGATATTAAATGTGGTCAGGTAAATGAATTTTTAGGGATGCAAATTGAAAGGAGTGGAAACAAGATTGAATTATCACAAACACGTTTAATCGATAAAGTAATTTCAAAATTTAACATGTTAGATTGTAAAGGTGTAAGAACTCCGATGGAAGTAAGTTTTATTGCTTGTAATGAAACTGAAAATATTGCACATCATATTCCGTATAGAAAGATAATAGGTAGTCTAATGTATATAGCATTGGGTAGTAGACCTGATATTATGTTTTCGGTTTCATTTTTGAGTCAGTTTTTAGATAAGCCTACTATAAAATTATGGGTTGCTGCAAAGAGAATTATTAGATATTTAAAAGAAACTAAAGATCTTACCTTAATTTTTACAAAGCTTAGTAACACATGTAGTAATGAAAATAGTTTGTTGGCCTATTCGGATGCCGATTGGGCTGAGAATATTGTTGATAGGAAAAGCATGTCAGGAGTTATTGTATATTTTTGTAATAACCCTATTTCTTGGATATCTCGAAAACTAAAAACTGTTGCATTAAGTTCTACCGAAGCAGAGTATATAGCTGCTACGGTTGCAGCAACTAAATTAATATCTTTTATTAAATTATGTGAAGAATTGACAAACTGTAAACCTATCCCTGTAATCAAGGTGCAATTTCAATCGCAAAATCGAATGAAAATGGTCGTAGGTCTAAGCATTACGATGTCAAGTATCATTTCATAAAGGACCTGGTGAATAGCGGAAATATTAATACTTATTCAATATGTTCAATCCAATAAAAATATTGCAGATATTTTCACCAAGGCCTTGTCTTATGATAAGCATGTTAGTATTAGAAATTCTTTGTTTTGTACTAAGGAACAATAATTTTTTTTGTGTCTGTATTGTCTAATGTTCAAATAGCAAATTTTAGTTTAAGTAAACTTAGGAACATCAATTTGAAGGGGGTATTGAAACATACGTACGCCTATGGCGAGTTGACATGCGTAGTTAAATAGTAGTAGTTGATGTAAAGATAGCGTGACCACCCCTCCGGGTTTGACCCGGAGTTTCCGGGTTCTTACGCCTGATCTCCGGGCTCCAGGTTTAGTATCATGTTCTCCGGATAGCTTTTCAAACGTTTTTTTTTAATTAAAATTATAATAGTGCCCGCGATCCCGATTACAGAATAGAAAACATGGTTGCGGTTGCGGGGCGCAACGCAAGCGACAGCGTTTATTACCTAACTGGGTAGTTAGTACCTAATTAGTGCTACAAGTATGACTAACCGGAATAGCACGAGCGTAGGCGGAAACGGTCGCCATATTACTGAACAAAATAAAATTCGCAGTCGCAAGCGGGTAGTTGTGTTGTGGCGATAGCAATGCAGCAGGTTGTTAGACTGGCAGAACTGTCTATAATTAGTTCATTGTACGTACAATCAGGTCAGTAAAATCAGCACCTTGTTTTTCTTATCTTTCTCACTAAGAATATCCCCTAAACTAAAGCATGGAAGAAGAAGACACAGAGCCCAAACCCTCAACTTCTAAAAAAGCACGACATTATTGTGGCATCTCTGTATACTTAATCTAGCTAGGGAAATAAGTAAAGTTGCATGCAGTGTGTAACAGCAACATGGCTCTCATTATTTGTTGAGTTGTGTGTAATATAAAGGTTTTGCTCATTTTTGTTGTTTATATGCAAGGTGCGTATAAGTCACGAACATATATATAAGTTCGTGGTGTAAGTATAAGGCATACATTACATAATTGGCGACGAGGTAGACGACCTACACGGCAACAGGCAAGGTATCCGCGTTCCGGTGAAAAAGACACACGCGGGAAAGACAAAATGGCGCAAGTAAATGTTTTGAGGGGTTAAGTAGAGACACTGGCCGAATACAAGATTGGAAACGACTGGTGTTCGTACCAAGAGCGGATGGAGCAATACTTTTTGGCAAATTACGTCGAGGACGATAGGAAAGTGGCCGTTCTCATTACAGCCATTGGTGACGACGCATACAGTACCTTAAAAGGGTTGTGTGATCCCGATTTACCTAATGCTAAATCATACAGTGATCTCTGCACAATTCTTAAAAATCAATTTACCAAGAAAGTGTCTGTGTTTAAGGAGCGCGTCGATTTCTATGACTTGAGGCAATTAGAAAACGAACCGATTAAAGATTTCTTCATCCGAATCAAAACCAAGGCCATGGAGTGCAAATTTGGTGCGAATCTGGATGAAATACTGAAGGACAGGTTTGTGGCAGCTTTAAGAAGAGTCCCAATTTTAGACAAGGTGTGCGAACAAGAACACACAAGTAAACTCTCAGAAATCGTGGAAGTAGCTCTTAAGAAAGAAGCAGCGTTGGTACAGACTCGCAGTGTCGCTAGTGTAAATGCAAATAAATAAATAAATAAATGCAATAGAGACACTGCATTCTATCTACTGCTGGGGGATTCTGCTTGTTATCGAGTTACTCGATCCGATACTAATAGCGTTTTCCATTTGCCTACTTCGAGTGCTCTCGCGTGCACTATATTAAAAATTTGTGTTCCATTTGCAACAATATTGTGTTCCATTTGTACTCTGGCGCACTCTCTCGTACTCCGACTTAAATTTTTTTTACTCTGTACAAAATAGGGTTGCCAGACGTACCCCTTTATGGGGTACAATACCCCATTTTTAAACGCGTTTGTCAAATGTGCCACTTTTCAAAAATTCCAAAAGGGGTACGCAAAATACCCCATTTACTTGCGCCAAATAAAAAATGCAGTATGAATGTATGATTCGTCAAAACCAGTTAACCAGTTGAGTTGTGCTTATGTATGGAATGTGGTGGGAGCGTCGCGGGGAGGTATTGCGTTCCGCATTCCGCCGCCGCTACACCCGTTAGTCGCCAACAACAGCACGTGAATCGGTGAGTCGCGGAGAGCGTAAACAATAAAATTAAATTATTTTGTGCTTGTGCATTGTCTTCGTGCCTTCGTGGTGAAAGAAGGAATTGCAGTTTACCTAGTAGAAGGGCTCATACCTACTCATACGTTATTTGTAAGTATAGTTATAATTAAATACCATGAACATGTGATTTTGGATTAAGTACATTTTAATTAATAGTAACATTTTTTACAGAATGTCAATGAAATGTCATCATCCGAGTATGATTATGATAGGGAAAGTGAGAAAAGGGAGGAGTGCAAGCAAAAATCCAAAAAACGACGAAATTATTTTAATAATGACTGGCAGCAAACTTACAGTTGGCTTCTTAAAGGCAAAGAAGAAGGCACTGCAAAATGTATTGCTTGTAATTCTGAGTTTTCCATTGCCAATGGAGGAGTTTATGATGTAAAGAAACATATGAAAACCGGAAAACATATAAAACAAGTGGAAAATTCAGCAAGAACCCCAAATATATTATCATTTTTCAATTCTACATCTACAGCGACATCTACAAAGAATAATTACAGGACAGCAGCAGCAGAAGCTTGTTTTGCGTATCATACTGTACAACATGCACATAGTTATAATTCTGCTAACTGTAGCAATTCACTTTTTTCAGTAATTTTTCCTGATTCCAAAATAGCCCAGACATTTTCTTGTGGAAGAACAAAATTGACTAAAGTTGTTACCAATGTTTTGGCAAAGGAATCTCGTAAACTTATCATTCAAGATCTCTCGGGAAATCATCCATTCAGTTTGGCCACAGATGCATCGAATAAAGGTAATATAAAAATGTTCCCTCTTGTTGTGAGATATTTCAAAAAAGATGTTGGTGTTCAAACCAAACTTTTGAATTTTTTTGATTCTTCTTCTGAAACATCTAAAATTATAGCAAACTGCCTTATTGAAAAATTAAAGGAGGCTAATTTAAATCCCCAAAATGTAATAAGTTATTGTGCAGATAATGCCAGTGTAAATTTTGGGAAAAATCAAAGCGTCTTTGTTGAATTGCAAAAATTTAATTCTGAATTAATTGATGTGGGTTGTCTTTGCCACGTGCTGAATAATTCCATAAAAAATGCTTCAAATTGTTTGAAATTTGATTTGGAATGCATTATTATGAAAACATATAATACATTTTGCTCTCATTCTAAAAGGAAACAAGAACTATTGGAATTTTATGATTTTTGTGATGTGGAATACAGTGAATTATTGAGGCATGTCCCTACTAGGTGGCTTTCTCTAGTACCAGCTATAGATAGGCTTTATAAAAACTTTGAGCCAATAAAAAGTTATTTTCTATCAATGTCTTCTTGTCCAGCATTACTTCATGATTTTTTCACAAATGATCTAGCTGAAGCATACCTAGGTTTAGTTTCAAATATTGGCACATTAATTCAAAATGTAATTTTAAAATTAGAGGGCGAAGGACCTATTATAATAGAGATATATGATCTATTGTCAAATTTGCGCAATTCACTAAAATCAAAGTTGGAGCAAAAATATTATGGAATGATAGCACATCAAGCAATGCAAAAATGTGATGACTTCAATGAGGTCAACTTGTTTAAGAAGAGAGCTGAAGCATTTATTTCAAAAATTGTAGATTACGTAGAGCAAAGATTTGATTTTACCCAGAATCGCTTTGAAATCCTAAAAATATTTAAATTAGAAACTATGCCAACCTTTGAGAAAATTTTAGAATTACTACAAAAATTTCCTATAAAAAATATTAACACTGATATTCTTTTTGAAGAGTACGTCATATTAAAACAAAAATTTCCATCACTTGAAAATCTTTCCTTTGAACAAAAGTGGGTAACATTTTTAAATACCTGTCAAGTACCTAATTTTGAAAAAATTGTTAATTTTGTTTTTGCTCTGGCTCATTCAAATGCAATGAGTGAACGAATGTTCAGTTTGATGTTTCAAGCTTGGCGAAAAGATAGAAACCGGTTATCTTTGAAAACCATTGAAGCCGAAATCATGGTGAAACATAATTATGGGAAAACTTGCAAAGATTTCTATAACTATGTCTTAGAAAATGAAAAATTACTAAAAACCATCACATTGTGGTGGTTCCTTCGGTTTAAATTTGAATTCCCGCCACACTTCTCCTCAATCGCTATACTCTTTGGTTTTGTCGGAGACTTACCTTGTATATTCTTGACTCTGTGGGTATAATTGTATGCCTTTGTGAACATGCACTGTATATGTGTAATGGGTTCTATGGTTATGCGCCGGCTAGCATTACTAAATGACAAGAATTGACTTATGATCGGGATGTCTTTACCTACATAAAGCGGTAGTGACTTTCCCTGCTTCAAAATTGAGCGTACGGAATCTACGTTTCTCATTAACACAACATCGGACAAAATACAAAATTTATTAATGCTTCAATGGAAACGAATGGTCTACATATAATAATGCAATAATGCAACACCCTATACAACATGAAAACTCATAAATTATTAGTACACAAATGGAAATCAAACAGTAAATTCTCAATCGTTACGAGCAAGTAACTCGTATGAAAATATTTCAAGATGTAATACTGTCCTATAAATAAAACGACAAAAGCTCCTAATAATAACAATAATCTAAAACACGAATGCAAATATTTAAATGTGCGTTACCACTAACGGGTAAAACTGAATAATACGGTCCTTATCAACTATTACAACGAAGGCGGGATATCTCACGCAGCAATAATTTCATGCTACGAATGCAAACGCAAGTAAATAATCTGGTCCGATAATAAACACAACGAACACGATTAAGGTCCGATAATATGAACGCGGCAAAACGTTTCCGATTCCACTTAATTGTGGTGGATGTTTAAATAACGTTTGTATTTTAATTGGCCATTAAATTCTGTACAGAATTTATTATGTAAACCTTCATACCTGAATAAATCAGTTGTTCTTCTCCGGCGAAGCCGCTATCGATAATTATTTGTTCGATCTTCGGCTGGCAGATAGGCAACTCATCATACTCCAAAACAAATGGGTAGCTCGAACTCGGAATAATGCAGGTTCAATTGCGAAGGTAATAAAATTTGCCAAAACAGGAAAATACCTTGCTCACGTATTGATCGACGATCTCGGCTTTCAGAGTGGTATTTTAAGTAGCTTCCTCGCTGCAGGTTACATCCACGTGCTTTAGCCTTGGAATTTACGTTATCGAACGCCCACAATACAACACCACACTTTTTTTTATCTACGCGATGTTGTTGTACGTAATTGATTTAAACTGATTCACTGTTTAAACTGGTAATTTAAATGAATTACCGGCACAATTTCTAGCGTGCTACCCCAAAATCGGGACGCCAATAATAATAATCTACCTTCTTTTTTCAATCTACTTTACCAACATATTTCAACCATTTTCTTTTTACAATGGCGCGCTATTTAAATAATTAGGTATACACATGGTGATTCGAAATAATTGACCAGTCGTTTCAACTTTTACTAATGTTTACTTTAAAACGAAAAATTTAAATTCTGTACTGCTACAGTAACCCCCCTTTGTTTTTCGATCAATCTATAACTATGATTGAAGGAAAACAATCTTCTTGCAAAACAAAACAAGAAAAAATACATGAACTTTAACTCAAAATATACATGGAACTTTAAATGTAGATATAAACATCTATTTATTATGCTCTATGGCATTTATCAAATTTATGATATAATTTTAGGTTTATTATGTTTTGTGTGGTTTTGTATATGTCAGTGTTTGGTATGTTCAATACGTAGGCATTGTCTCCGATCTGTTTCTTGACCTCAAACGGGCCTTCATAGAGTAAAAAGAATTTCTTTATTTCTTTGTCTATATATGAGGAATGAAAATGTGTTCTAACTAACACTAGGTCTCCTGCTTTAAACTTCACCGCTTTCACCCTATTATCATGTTTCTGTTCTCTTCTTTCCATTTTTGTGGTAACAATCTCTTTAGCTAGCTCAATCTTCATCTCTAACTTGCTATCTATACACCTCGGGTAATCTATTAAATTCTCTATCAATTGTGGTATTCTTCGTCCCTTCATGAGTTCATAAGGTGTATAACCTGTACTTTCACATTCTACACTATTTATCCATTCTTCAATTTGATTAATATGTTGAGGCCATGATGCATGTTTTTTATGACAGTACGTCCTAAATAACCTCCCTAATTCTTTCATCACTCGTTCACTCGGGTTGGACTGCGGATGATACACTGCAGTATATGTAATGTTTATATCTTGCTCCTTCAGCGCAATTTTCCATTTTTTGCTCATAAATTGCGATCCATGGTCTGATAATATAGTCCTGAATTTTCCCACTGTCGGTATGTAATCATCTGTAATTTTCTTCAATAAGACTTCTGTTCTTGCTTTCTTGATCGGGTACAATTTAACAAATCTAGTGAAAATGTCCTTCATAACAAATATATATTCCAGTCCACCTCTTCCTTTAGGTAGTGGCCCATATAAATCTACTGCAACTATGTCTAACGGCCCTTCTGCCTTTACACTCTTCATATTTCCTTTACTGGTTTTATTTGGGGTTTTCGCCTTCTGGCATATGTCACATGTGGCAATCACTTCCCGTACCTCCCTATCTAAATTCTGAATGAAGCATGTTTCTTTTATCAATCCTGATATTTTCCTACTTCCAAAATGTCCATACATTTTATGATATTCCGTTATTAATTCATGTGCTATCGATGCCGGGATGCATAACACCCACCATTCTTCACTTCTATTTGTTCTTCTGTATACTATATCTTGATAAATCCGAAAATTTCTTTCCAATTCTGTCTTCTTTCCTTTTGTATTATTTTCCAATTCATCTCTGATCCATCTTAAATGTTTATCTTCCTGTTGTTTTTCTTCTATTTTATCTAATATCTTTTCTAGTGCTTGATTTTCATATAATTCCATCGCTGCTACCGTGATCGGATCCCCTTCACTCATTCCTTCATATCCATACCTTGAAAGGAAGTCCGCTATCACATTATCTTTACCCCTCCTATACTGGATCTGCAGTCTAAATTGCTGTAGGTATATTTTCCACCTGATCAGCCTCTCACTTATCAATTTGCATGTAAATAAAAACTCGAGTGCCTTATGATCGGTTAACACTATAACTGGATGTCCTATAATGAAGTTCTTGAATTTTCCACAACCGTATTTTATTGCTAAAAGTTCTAACTCAGTAATCGTATAGTGTCTTTCACTCCCCTGTAATATTCTGTTGGCAAACATGATTGTCTTTACTTCGTTTCCTTCCAATTGGAACAAGTGGGCGCCTATGGCTTTTGTAGATGCATCACTTTCGATGTAAAATTGTTTCTTAAAATCCGGATGATTTAAAATAACTATGTTGGCGAAAGTTTCTTTTAAACCGTCGAACGCTCTTTGGTGACGTTTATTCCAAATCCACTTCTCATCCTTCCTTAGTAAATCTGTCAACCCTTCTATTAACTCCGAATATTTGCTTTGAAATTTTCTGTAGAAATTACAAAAACCCAAGAATGACTGTAATTCCTTTTTATTCTTTGGTACTGGACAGTTCCTTATAGTTTCTACTTTCTCTTCATCAGGTTCTATACCTTCTGGTCCTATAATATGTCCCAAAAATTTCACTTTCCCTTTCAGGAACGCCGATTTCTTAGCATTTATCGTCATATTTGCTTTACTAATCCTTTCATATATTCTCTGTAAGTGGTCTCGATGCTCTTCGATCGTCGTTGATGCAATCAATATATCATCCACGTACACATTGCTATGTTCCATTTCTGGCCCAAGTACTGCTGTCATCGCCTTGTTGAAAACTGCTAAGGATACATTCAACCCAAAGGGCAACACCCTGAATTGGTAACTTTTCCCATTAATTAGAAACGCTGTGTATTTTCTGGAGTCCTCGTGGAGTGGTATCTGCCAGAACCCTGCGGTTAAATCCAACGTTGAAAAATATCTGGTCCCATAAAATTTATGTAGTAAATCCTCCATATTAGGTGGCGTTTCTTTATCTGGTATGATTATCTCATTTAACTTCCTTGCGTCAAGGCACAATCTCACACTGCCATCTTTCTTGGGTACTACAACCATTGGGTTTGTATATGGTGAGTCGGATTGCTCAATAATTCCCTGTCGTACCATCCTGTCAATTTCTTTGTTTACCGCTTCTCTTCTTGAATAAGGAATCGGGTAAGTGCGTTGGACAAATGGTTTCTCATCGGTTACTCGTAGTCTACATACATATTTATTACATTCTCCAGGCTCTTCAGAAAATATCTCACGATACTGATGGTTAAGTTCTTCTATAATTGATATTCCTCTTATTTTCTTATCTTCACCTTCTATAACTTGGCTCGTCGCGTTGACCCCCCTCTTAAAAGGGTTTGTTTCTTGAATTCTTTCTTCTTCTTCATCCAGGCTAGTTACTTGCGTAATCCTATTCTGTTCTTCTATTTCCTCTTTAATACTCTTTCCTCTCTCTTCATTTAAAGCCTCAATCAATCCTTCTAATTTTCCATCTTTAATTGCTATCTCTTCATCCTCCGTTTTCTGTACTATGCTGTAATGTTGTTGCTTTGATGAGTTTTCCACTCCTATAATTTCAACCCACTGGCAATTCCCTTCATTTTTGTAAATTAAAGTTCTTGTAGGTAGTAATATCTCAGCTTCATATTTCTGTAACCAGTCCATTCCGATTATTACTGGGATCTTCACATTTTTGACTACCAAAAACTTGATCATTACTCGATCATACCCTATTTGCATTTCTATATATACCTGCCGCTGTATTTTGGCCAATTTTCCTGTAATACCCTGTATCTTACAACAACCTGGTACTGGAAGACAGATTATTTTTTCATCCCAATTCACTTGGTTAAATATTTCTTCGTCTATAATCGACACTGTACTTCCTGTGTCAATTAATGCTTCAATTTCCATATCTTCTAATTTTATCTGGATTTTCGGTATATAATTTTCTCCACCTTTGCTCTCGATTTCTCCTTCGCTGTCGTCTTCTTCATCATCTGGGTCATAATGTACTTCGGCTACCACTCGCTGTTGGTTGACTGCCATCTCTTCTGTTTTCATGATTGGTGCCGAATTTTTTATATCCTTGAAATATTTTCTTACTATTGCTATGTGGTTTATTTGCTCCGTTGATAAATTCCTGGGAACGGTTGGAGCTTTCGGTTCCCAGCCTCTTAGTTTAAATGCTCTCGTTCATTGTTGTATTGCGCCCTCTGCGGCGAATACCTCCTTTCATTGAATCTGGGATTTCGGTTTTCTTCACCTTGCCGGAATCCACCTCCTCCTCTTCCTCTGTAGGCACCTCGGTGACCTCCTCTATCTGTATGGTACTCTACAGCATTCACCCTTTCTTGGTTCCGTGGATTTGATCTTCGCTGATCCACTTTGTATAGCTCATCAAGTTTCTCTAACATTTCTTTCTTGTTTTTTACTCCTGCTGATACCAAGGCCCTTTCTACTTCCTTTGGATAATGTTTGGATAACGAGTTGACAATTTGCCTCTCTTCCATTGGAGGGTTCAAATGCATTGCTTGCTTAATCCAGTATCTTGCGTGGTCCACATAATTTCCGTTTCTTGACTGGTATTCTCGGTGACCCATTATTTTCATTCGCACCTCATCTTGAATTTTTTGTGACCAGTACTGTTCCATAAAGTCTTGCTTAAAATTTTCAAAGCAGTTCCAATCTGTGTTGCTAATATCAGCCCACATCTTCGCACTTCCACTCAGCTTCCGCATTGTAATGTTCAATTTATTTTCTTCTGTAATGTTTACGTTTTTCCAAGCGTTTTCCAAAAATTTCAAAAATTCGAGTGGTTGCATCACTTTTGACTGCCCATCAAACTCCGGAATCAGTTTGATGCTGTCGCTCATTTTGAAAACTTCTCCGCTGCTGGTATTGCTTCTTATTCCTACATGTTGGATTTCTCGGATTGTATTTTGTATCTTCGTTTCAATTTCTGTAACTCCAGATGAAAGCTCCTTAACCTTTTCTTGAGTTTCGACCAATTGCTTCCACCTGCCATCACAAATGTTGAGGACTGTGTTTGCCCTATAGTTGCATTCTTCACGTTGATCTCCAATTTGCTGTTCAACTTCTTTTCTTAATTGTTTATTTGCTTCTTTGAATGATAACTGGATCTGTTTCAACTTTTCTGATTGGTGGTCTATTTTTTCTGTGATTTTTTGTTCCGTTTCTTGTGCTTGTTGTTCAATTTTCTGTTTTGTTTCTTGTGATTGTTGTTCAATTTTCTGTTCTATCTGTTGTGACATTAACTGTATCACACTAACCAATTTCCCGATGTCGTCCCCCTTTGGAGTAGAGGTTCGTAGTGTTTCTTCCATTCCATGAAATGACGTACATGCTGAATTATCTTCCATATTTTCCGTAATTGCTGATACTTCTTTCGTAACGTCCATTTTTGGTTCTTCTTTAATTTTTCCTGACCTTAATTTCATTCACCCCCCTTATACTCTGAATTTTCTTCGATAGTCGAGTAGAAAACTCTTGATGCAGGTTGTTAATTCGAGCCCCACACGTTGGTCGCCATATTGTGGTGGTTCCTTCGGTTTAAATTTGAATTCCCGCCACACTTCTCCTCAATCGCTATACTCTTTGGTTTTGTCGGAGACTTACCTTGTATATTCTTGACTCTGTGGGTATAATTGTATGCTTTTGTGAACATGCACTGTATATGTGTAATGGGTTCTATGGTTATGCGCCGGCTAGCATTACTAAATGACAAGAATTGACTTATGATCGGGATGTCTTTACCTACATAAAGCGGTAGTGACTTTCCCTGCTTCAAAATTGAGCGTACGGAATCTACGTTTCTCATTAACACAACATCGGACAAAATACAAAATTTATTAATGCTTCAATGGAAACGAATGGTCTACATATAATAATGCAATAATGCAACACCCTATACAACATGAAAACTCATAAATTATTAGTACACAAATGGAAATCAAACAGTAAATTCTCAATCGTTACGAGCAAGTAACTCGTATGAAAATATTTCAAGATGTAATACTGTCCTATAAATAAAACGACAAAAGCTCCTAATAATAACAATAATCTAAAACACGAATGCAAATATTTAAATGTGCGTTACCACTAACGGGTAAAACTGAATAATACGGTCCTTATCAACTATTACAACGAAGGCGGGATATCTCACGCAGCAATAATTTCATGCTACGAATGCAAACGCAAGTAAATAATCTGGTCCGATAATAAACACAACGAACACGATTAAGGTCCGATAATATGAACGCGGCAAAACGTTTCCGATTCCACTTAATTGTGGTGGATGTTTAAATAACGTTTGTATTTTAATTGGCCATTAAATTCTGTACAGAATTTATTATGTAAACCTTCATACCTGAATAAATCAGTTGTTCTTCTCCGGCGAAGCCGCTATCGATAATTATTTGTTCGATCTTCGGCTGGCAGATAGGCAACTCATCATACTCCAAAACAAATGGGTAGCTCGAACTCGGAATAATGCAGGTTCAATTGCGAAGGTAATAAAATTTGCCAAAACAGGAAAATACCTTGCTCACGTATTGATCGACGATCTCGGCTTTCAGAGTGGTATTTTAAGTAGCTTCCTCGCTGCAGGTTACATCCACGTGCTTTAGCCTTGGAATTTACGTTATCGAACGCCCACAATACAACACCACACTTTTTTTTATCTACGCGATGTTGTTGTACGTAATTGATTTAAACTGATTCACTGTTTAAACTGGTAATTTAAATGAATTACCGGCACAATTTCTAGCGTGCTACCCAAAATCGGGACGCCAATAATCTACCTTCTTTTCGCAATCTACTTTACCAACATATTTCAACCATTTTCTTTTTACAATGGCGCGCTATTTAAATAATTAGGTATACACATGGTGATTCGAAATAATTGACCAGTCGTTTCAACTTTTACTAATGTTTACTTTAAAACGAAAAATTTAAATTCTGTACTGCTACAACATCCAATGAAAAATACGTAGAATAATATTTTAATATCTAGCTAAGTAGTTCATGTTTTAATATAAGTATATACCTATAATTATTTTTCGCTTTTATCCAATGTATTATACACCTTTTTTAAATAAAATTTGTCTTCTTGTCTTGTAAATGTAAATACGAGTAGTTTTTGTAAGGTATCATATTATGTCACAAAGTCTTCTTTCTTAATTGGTATCCCCAGAAGTTGAATAAATGTATTTCTTTCAATGCTCAAACATTTGAGTAAATAATTGACCAGTGTGTTTAAAATCTTGAAATGCCGCATTTAATGGCCTATATTCTACGCATTTTTGTGGTCTGAGAAAGACGTAAATTAGTCTAAAAACATGTTTAATGCTACCAAAATTTCAAAAATTTTCCGGGGGAGAACCCCCGGACCCCCCCGCCTACTGGGGGGTTTTCCATACCCCCCAGACCCCCCGGTTGTGACAACGTCCCATCTATGCTCACTCCTAACGTACCCCTTTTTGGAAATTTATATCTGGCAACCCTAGTACAAAAGGAGGGAGTAGAGATTTTTAAGGTTATGTATGTTTTAAAAGTGACCTGTGTACCAACACAGTTCAGTGTGTAAACTACTGTTTTTTTAATTTTTACTATGGAAATGGAAGACGCCAATGTAGTAAACATTATTTTAAATAATCTTGAAAATGCGTACGATGAAAGTTCTTCCTCAGATGAAGATGATGAACTTCTTATTCGTTTGGTCAAATACAAAATTCCTAAGATAGAACATTTTATAGATGATGTTGTGAATAAACTAAACGATTGTTTGGTATGTTATTCTTAATAGAGATAAGAGTTTTATAATTGCAATATGTGTATTATAGTTTAAAAGCCATTTTCGCATGAATAGATCATCAACAAACAAATTAGTTGAAAAATTTGGAAGTTCTTCGTTTTACCCCAAGAGTGTGGCAGGACAGAAATCGGTCAGTTCAGAGAACCACATACTGTCTTTCTTATGGTAAGTATTCCAGTTATTGCCAATAATTCACATTACTAAAGTGCTTTAGGTTTGCTGGTAACAAATGTTGTCTGCGTGATGTCTCCCAAAGATTTGGAGTTGGCATAGCATCACTGCATCGACAATGTGATCGTGTGATGGAGTTTCTAGTTAGCATAGCCCCTCAAATAATTACATTTCCTACAGGAGACCTACAAAAGTTAAGCATGGCTAAGGAATTTGAGAAAGTGAGCTTACCAGTTTTCTTAAACTGTAAAATAATAAGAAAACCAGATTTCAGGTTTTCCTAATGTGTTGGGATGTATAGATTGCACAGATATACCCATTAGAACACCAGTACACAAAATTAAATCAACATATGTTAATCGACATGATATTCCTTCTATAAAATTGCAAGCTGTATGTGATTATAAAAGACGATTTATGCACATTTTATCAGGTGCACCTGGAAAAATTCACGATGCACGTTTATTAAAATTATCAAAGATAAGAGACAAATTAGAAGTTTTATGTGGACATGATTACCACATACTTGGTGATTCTGCTTATGCTCTAAGAACATGGCTGTTAACACCATTTAGAGAGTATGACTTACACGACAATAGAAATAAAAATTATAACAAAAAATTTAGTGCCACAAGGGTACTGATAGAAAATGCATTTGGCATAATGAAAAATCGTTTTCAACAACTTCAATGTGTCCAGATCCACACAGTAAATCGTATTACGAAATTTATTACAGCTTGTTGTGTGTTACACAATTTATGTATAGAATGGAATGATAATCTAGAAATGGAACATTTCGAAATTGATGACTTTGCAGCGCACAACGAGGAAACCGAAGACAATGATACTAAACTACGACGTTGTGGCGAAAGAAAACGTAATTATATTAAGGGAATATTGTAATATAATGATATAAAACATAGGATTATAAAATACTAAGTAGCTACAATACTGAAACTTTCTACTCAATGTTAATGTTAATGTACTGTATATTATTTATCTTTCTTTAGTGCTATTAATTCACGTAATAAATCTTTAGTTTCTTGCAGTATCTGTAGCTTTTCTTGATGTCGACGCTCTTTATTGGTCTCCTTTTCTTTTAAAAACGTTAAAATATCCTTACTTGAGGTGGATTGCTTCCGTTTTTTTGACATTAGTGAAGGCGTAGCTCTATCGCTTGCTGAAGCTGGACTAGCAGGTAGTACATCATCTATTGATGAAGACTGGGGTGTATATTGTTCGTTTGAACTATCTTCTTTCTGAAACTCTACTTGCTGTTCGGACCGCAATATATTTGGGATGATACTGTCATCTTGCCGGCATATTTTGTCTAATTCCTCTTGAAAAGGTACACCAATATAGGATCGTCCAGAACGATTATTGTTGTCTACTGCCCTTTTTTTTCTCCGAAGTACAGTTTTATATCTGCTTTCAACCTGTGTTGCACTGCGATTTATATTAAATTTCTTAGTTAATAAACAACTCAAAAAATTCCATAGTGCCTTCTTATTTTTAAATTTTTTTTTAGGTCCAATGTTATTTAAATTTATTTGATATTGATCTAACAGGTACTTTGTTTCCTCATCTGACCATCCTTGAACTAAGAAGTTAGTTATAAGAAAATGTAACATCTATCAGCTTACGGTTATCCTGTGCAGTATCGTTTACAACTTCAGTTGGCTCAACTTCTTCATCTTCGTAATCTAAAACATAAATTCATTAGATAAGTATAGAGATCCACCATATTTTTTAATGTGTTGAAATAAACCAATTACCTTGAGAGGTGGCGCATGTTTCATCATTACAACCTGTAGCAGGTACACCCGTAGAATATAGGTGGATTTCACTAAAACAATGGTGTAGTCACAAAATTCAGGTTTCTAAAAAAACTTGATTCTTACCTTCCATCGTCATTGACCCTACGCATCGTGTGTAAGGCATCTTTCAAAGAAATGAAACCCTTACTTATCAACTGCATTATGTAGTTAATTGTAAATTCATCATCATCTATAATAAATTTCTTATTAAACACTTTTCATACACTTTGAACAAAATGTGCAATATAGACAAGGTAGACAAGTAAAACTAGTGGTATTTACTCACTTGTAATCTGAAAAAGAAGATCAGAATCATCGTTCGGCAAGGTTAGGGTAACAATTTCATCATTAAGTTTAAATATTACTGCTAATTCGTCCATTGTAATTTAACCTACATAACAAAACCGCGATAACTAGGTTATGTGTTCTTAAAATGTATGTTCCATTTGTGAACAAAACGGATTGCTCCAGACAACTCTACTCCAAAAATCTGGAGCACTCTAACTTGGCAAATGGAAAAGGTTATAAATTAGATACCAAACACTATATCGTTTCTTGGTATTCTGACCCGGTATCGAATTTGGTATCGTCGTAGCTGTTCGTAGCTGCCCACTGTATTCTAACTTCACACTTGTTGGTTGCGGTATTTTTATAATTTTGTGTAGTAAAGATTTCTGTAATTTGCCAATAATATGCTTCCTATTGTTGATTTTTATATCAGAAACCAAATTAATCAAGTCGAAAATGAAGCGGGACAACAATTACGTCTACAAAGGAGGTTCTTGCGCGATAATAGTAATCCGTTTGATTTACCAGAAGTAAGGTTCATCGAACTGTTTCGTTTAAATAAAGACCTAACGCAACATTTAATTAATACGTTAACTCCGTTTCTTTCTCGACCTATATACAGGTCAGGAATTACAGTAGAAACGAAAGTATTTGCAGCACTAAGGTTTTATAGCAAGCACAGGCTGTTACAAACGTGCAGTCGGCGAAGATTATAATTTGGGCCTCAGTCAAACTTCAGTTCACAGGTTGTTGTTACTAATATTTTCTTATATTTTATTAATGTATGCGATTTTAAGATGTATTCATGAGGTGACTGAATGTATTGATAACCATTTAGCACCAGAACATATTATATTTCCTAATACTCGAAGAGAATTAAATATCAATAAGGAGCTGTTTATGCAGCACTTCAATTTCCCTGGAGTGGTAGGTGCAATTGATGGCACACATGTTGCCATCTTGAAACCGGTCATAGAGGAACATAATTTTGTAAATCGAAAGGGCTTCCATTCGCTAAATGTTCAAATTATATGTAACAGTAATTTAAGAATTTTAAACATCAATGCTAATTATCCTGGGGCAACGCATGATTCATTCATTTGGCGTCAGTCACAAATTCGGGAGTATATGAATCATTTACATAACGAAGGAAATCGAGGATGTTGGCTCATTGGCGATTCGGGATATCCATTAGAACCATATTTAATGACGCCATTTCTGAATCCGGCTGAAAATTCTCCTGAGGCAAGATACAATCAAACACATTGTAGTGCGCGGAATTGTGTGGAGAGGTGCATTGGAGTATTGAAAATGCGATTTCGATGCATATTAAAAGAACGCACTGCACGATACACTCCACAGTTGGTTGGAAGATTGGTCAACACTTGTGCTACACTGCATAACATGTGCATTGATCATGGCATTCCTTTCGCTAATGAAGTTGATCGTCCAGAACCATTGCATAACAATAATAACTATATATGTACATGATCAAAATGTAAGGAATGAAGGGCGTCAAATACGACAAAATATTGTGAATAGGTATTTTATTAGATAGATTTAAGATTTCAATGTAACATTAATTTACTGATTTGTGAATACTAGTTCAAGGTATATAAATAAGTTTATAACATATGCATAAAAAATATTTACAAAATGATTCATTCTTACGCATAACGTCCACCAACTGCCCCAATTTATTTTCTATACCGCCTAGCCTTAGATTTAACGCATCGATGCTATTAGTAATAGATATATTGCAATCGACAATTTTATCTAAAGTCGCATGGATGCCATGCAATACAACTAACGTTTTTTCATACATTTTCCTCTGGTTTTGGTTGCTGTTTACTGCGTTTTACTTGGGATTGTCCAGGTTTCAATGATAAATAATCGTGATCAGATACATCCATTTTTCTTTTTGGAGTCTGTATATATTCTTCCGTGAAGGGAGTGACAGTTTCACTTTCTTTTTGAGTTGAACTTGGAATAACTGCACCCTATAATTGCGGAGTGATTGCAGTACAAGAAGAAAATTGCCTTTCCGATACAATTATCCTAGTTTCATGAGAAACATTTTTCATTTGTGATTGATATGTACTCACTCCATGCTCCGTTGTACCACAACCTTTATAGAAGACATCTCCTAAAATGGCCAATATTTTTTTCTCCAACTCGGTCAACGTTTTCTCAAATTCAGGACCTCCTCCCGTGGCATTTTGTGATTTCCTAATTTCACTTGCCTTTTTTTTTAAATTGCATTTGAAATCCGTCCATGTCTAAACATTTCATTTTAATGCAAACGTAATTATTTTACGTAACTTACCTTTTGCCATTTTTCAATAGACCGCTCACCAACGCCTAAACTGTTCAATTTCACTGTGAGCTCTTTCCATAATTTTTTATATGTTTCGCGACCTGCTGGGTCGTTAATCCTGCCTGTGGCAAAATCAGGATGCTTTTCCATAAAGTCGCACAGTACTTCCCAGTGAACATCTCTTATCTTAAAAGTCCTAAAAAATAAACATTAGAGCAGCAGTAATAAGGTACCTACAAGAAACTTACATAATTTCAAATGTGTGGATATACAAGATAGTCGACTGGTAATAGAAGCGTACCGGTTCGCAAACAATAGGTGACTAATCGCATAGACCATCAACTATACCTAATCGCTTTTACAAGTTTTCGTAAACAAGTGAAAGTGAGGTGTTTGATAGGTTTTTATTTTGTGGGAAATTCAAACTGTCCCCACCATGTGATCACGTTAAACGTTTGAAGTTAGGTCAAAACAAAGAGAAGACGGGGATTGAAAAGAAATAGGTAGATCGAATTTGTCATGCGATACCATTGGAGGTGTCGAAGTATGATGTCAAAATCACTCGACAATCGTTTGTCACGATAGTACTTTAGAATCGTAAAAATGGCGTACTCGAGTCGAGTCCCTCGATACGATAGCAATCAGAATCCCCCTGCAGAACTTTGAACATCGTAATAAAATGGACTTGTAAATTTGTATCATCAATTATATTGACCATCCCCTTACCAATATTAAGAGTTATAACATGGCGCAGTCGGAAATGGATTAATAAAGACTAAAGAAGAATAAAAACAGCAGAAATAAGGGTAAAATAGGAATAAAAGCACGAGTTGTAGGTTAATCGAACACGAGATGGAATTTTTAAAGCAACCTAAAGCGATGATAATGGATGGAGACTTGGCATTCAATTTCAAAAAGTTCAAACAGAGTTTCGAGTTGTATGTGATGGCAACTGGCTGTACTGAGAAACCGCAGGAAGTATAAGCAGCGGTACTTCTGCATACTATTGGTGAAGGCGCTCTATAGAGGTATTAGAGACCTTGCATGTATCGGTTGAAGACAAGAAGAATAAATACAAAATTTTAGAAGCGTTTGAGAAGTACTTCGTACCGAAAACTAACACTAGTATCGCTAGGCAAAAATTTAACAAGAGAACGCAAGGAATAAATGAAGACTTCGACAGCTTTGTAAAAGATCTCAAGATACGAGCAGCGGCATGTGATTACGGCGATATTAGGGACAGCATCATCAAAGACGTCATTATAACCCAGCAAACCAAATCACGTCTTTTTAACGTCAAATATTGGTAACTTTTAGACCCGAGACGTCATCAAAATGACGTATATCTAACGTTAAAATTACGACAATATGTCCCACAACGGTTACGTCAGTCTGATGACGTTGTAGTTTAGGGAATCTGCTGACGTTAATTAAACGTCGTAGCTGCTGACGTTGATTAAACGTCGTAGCTGCTGACGTTAATTAAACGTCGTAGCATGATCACAAATACTCACGTTTCACCACACTACGAACGTCACAAAAGCGTGATTGGTACGTTTGATACCCACTTATTTTATGATTGCATTTTCCTGTTATAGCACCCTTAAACTAATACTAAATTTGTTAAAACCAATGCAGTTGTTATGGTATTAGTTTTAACTAATTTAATTAGTCAAGGGTTTCTAAAAAGAAAACAAAGATCATATCTATAAAAAAGAGCAATAATATTGCATACCTATACTACAGTCACAGTTTCTTTCTTAATGTGTTGCTTTCCATTTTTACTGATGCTAAGTCTCTATAGTATAGAAAAATTGATTTGGGTTAGGTAATACATATATGTTACGAGTTTGTAAAATTTCAAAAAAGTTAAAAATTTATTTGATTTTTATATATACATATTTTATGGTATAGTAGGGACAAAGAACAATGGCATCAAGGCCCACAAATAAGCATAAAAAGATCAAAACTAAAAAAATAAATCTGTATGCTTACATTATACAGTTATTACATCATAATAATTATAGTTACTTATACTATATTGTGTACACCTAATCATAAAAGTTGTATAAAAATAGCTTCTGATACGAGCCCCGTTTCAATGAGGTTGGCCCATCTAATAAAAATGTATTTTTTTTAAATAAATGTCATTTTAAAAGAAAATATGGTAAAATTAATACAATTTAAGATAATAAAAAATTAATTTTAAAATAGAGAACTATTAAAGAAAAAGAATACAGTGGAACTCCCATAAGTCGAATCTCAAGGGACGCAAAAAAAATTCGTGTTAAAGAAACTTCGAGTTTAAGAACAATTTATTAAAATTTTAAGGATCAAGGAACTCACATTTTTATTCGAGTTACAGAAAAAATTGACTAAAGGGAGTTCTACTCATGGGAGTTCCACTGTATTATGTAACTAACACAAAAAATTGACAATAATTTAAAATTTACATTATCATTTGTAACAAGCCATATAGTTTTGAAATAGTGACATACACATTTAAGTTGGTTTGAATGTATATTTTGTTACAATCACGTTTATTAAAATTCGAACTTGAAAGCAATTAAAACTGGAAATGTCAATTTCTCTAGGAATGTGTAAGGAAACGTAAAATATAATATGTTAAAGAGTAGTTTATTACCTTATTATGACGTAAAGTAGAAAAATTCTTGCATTTGGTAGTTGGGCCAAGGTTACTGAAACAGGGCTCATATTAAAAGGCTTGAAAGTTATATAGGGTTACTTAGTTACTATACTGTTGTGTGTAATAGAGGAAGACACACGAAAATATGTTGGGTATAAGGAAATACAAAACATTTGCTTTTTATGTCCGTTAAATTCCAAACCTTCAATTCTGATAAACTATGCACAAAACTTATATGAAAAAATTTTTTTGAATCTACTGGATAAGTGTAGGCAGCATCATATTTTGTAAACATTTTTCCGATAATAAATATTTCATTTTTTTTATTTAACAAGTTATGTACTTGAATAACTTCATTGGTATTAGTCAAACAGTAACAATTGGCATGTGAATATTGGTAGACAGACAATATAAATTTTTCACCCTCAAACTTTTTAAATTGCTCGAAGTCTTTATATGCAGGTAGTACAGGTCCTAATTTATGATTGTACAAAAGACGTGAAATTGTTTTACAACTCACTTCATGATCTTCTACAAAATTTGATTCAATAATTCGATTATATGCTTGTGTCAATGGATTGTTGCTACTACGAATTAATCTTTTAAGTTGGCCTAAAAAGTTTTCATATCCGAAAGCAGAAATATTATCTAAATGACCATACCTATTAGCATCATCACTTAAATGAGAAACAATGTGAACATTGTAACTCAAGAATTCCAAGCCATATAGTTTCTCACTGTGGGATGTAAATGTTTCAAGAAATTGTTTTGCCAAATTTGTTCCCAGTTGCTGACACAAAATAGGCGAGCAAAGGATGACCAAACTGCAGTGAAATAGAAGAAAGTGTTCATACACAGAGACTTTTACTATATCTTTTAATACAACTGGGCCTAGATATAATAAAAATGTTCTGTATTCTGTAGCTTTCCAATGTGCTAATTCCTTTATACTTCTTGGCTTGCGATTAATTTCTATGGGCACAAATTCTTGTAAAGACAATAACTTTTGTGATAAATTGTTAACTAATCTAGACTGCAATCGAACCCGAAGAGATCCACTAACCCATGAATTTAATAGTTTTCTCATTACTCCAAGACATGCTGCATGCATATAGTCTAGAGGGAATTGGGACACCATGCCAATACCCAATGAAGTTAATGGTGAAACACCAAGATGATGCTCCTCATCCTCTTGATTGAAAAATGAAGTGTCAGTTCTTTTACTAGCATTTGTATGCCTTAACACAACCCTTTTATTTACTAGTGTCCCATACTCTGTACATCTATCGCATGATGAATATCCACCGTGCCCTTTAACACGTTTTATATAGGCACGAGCGGGAGCATCGCAAATAAAGCTATGCACCTCGATATCATAAAATTGGGTGTGGTGCATTAAGCCATTAAGCAGTAAATCTTTGAGATCATGAATGAAGCTTTCTAAAAAAGTTTCTAAGGGAGAGGGTTTTGAAACGCCACAAAATAATCCCACCACAAAAGGTTTTTGATTGCAACTATTTTTTATCATACAGAGAATAGGCCAAAACTGTTGACTTGTACTGTGAAAAATGGGAAGCCCATCAATGTTAAAAGATAAAGAGATTTTACTAGAATTAACTTGATGTTTACTTAAGTGATTACTAATGCATTCTTTCATATTGAAGTGAATATACTTTCCATTATCTAAATCCTTAGTTTTTACAGAACGTGGAGTTTTTAGCAAACTTCTACAATCAAGTGGCAATTCGGGATGATATACATGTAATATATGCAAAAGTGATGTAACAGAAGAATGTGGAACATTTTCACTTGCAGCCCAAATTTGTAATTTTTCTGTTAAACTTTTAAGTGGAGCAGCAGTTGGTTGATTGACGGAGTATGAAACATAAGGCACATTATCGCTCAGGCAATTTTCTGAACTGTTTGGCGAGTTTGAATCACCATATTGGGAAAGTCTACTATTGTCTAATACAAACATGCTTTCTGCACTACTGCAGGAAGCTGATTCAACAATATTATCGGCATTATTAGACTGTACATTTAAAAGACGAGATGCTTGCAGTTGGTCTAATGCTGCTTTTACTCTTCTATTTATCTGTCTTTTACCAACAAATGGTTTTAATTTATATTTTTTTGGCATAGTTAATTATACTATAAAAACAAATGAAGCTTTCAAGCTGAATAATATAAACAAAATATTTCTATAGGCATTTACGTTAATTGCACCGGTAAATACCGGTTTGTACCGAGCGCGTTCTACAATTCATTTCCATCTACCTACCATCGTTCTTTAAGGTGCGTTGACACGGTGCTAGTGTGCTCGGCCGAGTCCGCTCGGTGCGAGTGAACTATCGTACGAGTTCTGTTGACACACAAAATTTTACTAGCTTGGTTTTAGTATAATGCAAAATGGCAGAAATTGTGCGTGCTGGTATTGCTATTGTTGCACAGTTACTAATCGGCGAATTAAACAATTTGCATGCTATAAAAAAACGACGTCCTAGACGAATGTGGATTCGGGAGTGGATAAAACGACGAAACGAGTTTGGTGAATCTGCAACGTTTCTCAGAGAAGTAGCATTAGAGGATCCAGAGACGTTCAGAAACCACCTAAGGTTAACGACAAACCAATTTGAAGAACTGTTATCAATGGTGGAACATTTAATTAAAAAGCAAGATACTTTGATGAGAGCTGCTGTAGAGCCAAGAATAAAATTACAGATTACTCTTCGTTACTTGGCGACTGGAGATTCGTTCAGCACATTGGAACATATGTATAGAATTCCAAAGAGTACCATATCCAAGTTCCTACCAGAAGTCTTAAAAGCTATATATGAGGGATTGAAAGATTTTATAAAGGTAAGTAAATCAACTTTATTTCTAGTATGTATTAGAAAAAACAAGCAACTGAAAATACATAATATTGTTATAACGTACATGTGAACGAGGTGAAAGTAAACATTATTAATTTAATGCATCAAAGCCACCAATACTTCTGATGGCAGCAGTTATAGTATCTGGTTCTTGGGAATGTTGGTAGTTCCTATCACTAAACTGATATTGCCCCCCAGAATCTGTACTATTAGTTTCGGAGGAGTATCGTGGAATGGGTGTTTCAGCATGTCCAGAATGAAATTGTGAGCGATTGACAAATGACTGTGACCTCTGCAACGACGTAACACGTTGGTTTGCTAACAGTGCCATAATTTCGGACTGGCAATGCAAAGCAAGATCTAGTGGAAGTTGCCTCAGTTGGCTGGCTACATTATTTCCGAAATGAAAAAATTCATCTTCAGTCCTTTCAGTGGATCGTTTTAGATCCTGCAGTGACTGGATGGCACTTGTGACATATTGGGGAACTGTATCCTTTGAGTTAGACGCCTTCTGTTTTGCCTTTCGTGGAATGCTTGGTGTCGCTGATCGATTCATGCTGCCATGTGAAGTTGTTGGCACATTTGTTGTACTGTCGTTCATGGGTCGCTTCCTGGTTAAATCTCTGATTGGTGAAGACAATGTGGTGCGAAGGGTGTCTGATTCTTGAATATTCAACTCTTGAGTATTCGATTGGCTTCTTCTTTGTCAGTATCTGCATGTGTCTCTAATGCAGGGACTGTTGTTCTATTGATGCCTACATTAATAACAGCTTGTGGTTCAGAGGTATTTGATGGCTTATCGCCAATAATTTCGTCAATATGGTTATAACATTCATTTCACCTTTATTTGATGTTGCCTCCACTTCAGTTTCATCATAGTTCTCTTGCTCCAATTGCGAGGCTCCAGAGTACTGAGCAATTTCTTCAAACTGAAAGAAATAAATGCAAATTATTGCAACTAAACAAGTAAATTTTCTATTTTTAGATGCCTACATCTACAAACGATTGGGCAGCAATAGCAAAAGGTTTTGAAGAGAGATGGCAGTTTCCAAAATGCTGCGGCGCACTAGATGGCAAGCATATCAACATACAGTGTCCCAACAATAGTCACAGTGACTTCTACAACTACAAAGGATATTTCAGCACCATACTTTTCGCCTTAGTTGATCACAATTACTGTTTTACTTATATTGATATTGGATCTAATGGACGTGTAAATGACAGCACGGTTTTTAGGAATAGTTCATTGAAGGCAGCAATAGAAAATGGATCAGTAGGATTTCCAAAGTGGGGGGTTATTGTTGGAGATGATGCCTTTCCACTGAAAGATTATTTGATGAAACCGTATTCAAGGCATGGTCGCTTATCAAACTCTGAAAAAGTATTCAATTATAGACTCTCTAGAGCAAGGAGAATCGTGGAAAACGCATTTGGCGTTTTGGCAATGCGTTTCAGAATTTTCAGAGCACATATTTTGTTAAATCCTGAAAAAGTGGATGATATCGTCAAAGCTACATGTGCCATTCACAATTGGCTACGACAAACATCGCCTAATTCTTACATGCCACCTTCTTCTGTTGACAGGGAAGATGAAAATGGACAAATTATATTAGGCTCATGGAGAAATGAAAATGCATGTTTGGGATTACAAGATATAGTGTGTGGAATTGGTAGTAACAACTTCACTACTTTGGCTGCAAATTGCAGAAGAAAATTTACCGATTATTTTATGGGAGAAGGGGCAGTTGGATGGCAGTGGAATATGATACACTAGTAAACTAATTCTGATTTGCTTGGGACTAATAATGTGTATAAGCCTGAAATAAAATTTGATGTGTATATTTTCTACTTACATGATTTGAGAAATGTTCCCTGGTATTAACCACTTCCTTTAAAAATCTGTGGGCTGTGTTAAACCATGGCAAATGCGAAACATACGATTCATCAGGTGACATTCCGGATTTAATCGCACGCTTTATTTTGTTTACTTCTTGGACGTAAGTGCTTCTTATATTCTTGATTTTATTTTTCAGATCATTGTTATCAAAATTCGGTAAATTCATTTGGTTAATCAAATTTCTTGAGGCTGTGTCTCTTGCGTCTTTATTTTTATAAAGGGCATGCCGAAAATTCCATAAACATTCTGCATCTTCATACAATTCAACAAATTTAAGAGTTTGCGCTTCTGTCCATCTTTTGACCGCCATGTTTTAAAAGAGAACTAGCATGAAACTCGCACGCCGAAAGTTGGAAGACGACCGACTAACTCGTACGAGAATTTACAACTGTCAAGTGTACTCGCTTGTTTGTTTACACAGTACGAGTTTTATGCGAGTACCGGCCGAGTAGGCATGCTAGTGGTCTCGGCCGAGCACACTAGCACCGTGTCAACGCACCTTTAATGTACCGAACTTTACGGTGTTTATGAACCTGGTGCACCACAAGTGGACCGGTGAATGTTATCGGTTAGAGAGGTGTGGTGCTGTTTTATAACCTCAAACTCCTATAAAATAAAATTATTTCGTTAAGCAACACATAATTAATTTGAAGTATGTGTTCTTTAAACAATTTCCAAGCTGTTGTGGATGAAAGCAACAATGTCATATTTAAGGACAATCAGATTCTTGTGTACAATCCAACAGGTAAGTACCTAATAGGAATATTTTGTGTATTTTTAAGTTATATTTCACCCTAATTACAAATTGATACATGTTTTGCTCCCAATTCAGATGACTGCACATTATATATACCTAATAATGAAGAGACGAGAGCAGCGTTAAACCTGCGAGAAACTACTGAAGATAATGAAGAGAATTTAACGGTTACCGCGGATGATACAGATCAACATGAAGGTATTTTTGCCTCCTTTTATGACACATTGCACTCATAGGTTCTATTAATTTAATACCCACTAAATTTATGCCATAAAAATACTAAGTACCTGGTTATTTATCCACCATGTTTAATGTACCAAATACTGTAGCGCAGTAATTTTTTGCTTTTTAACAAATTAGTCGCGCGAGTGCAAGGTGTCCTAAACTGAAATATAATTCTGCATTGTAATTGCTGCATTATTGATATACATATTGTTGCAGAAACACAACGATGGACCCATGAAAGCACTCTGCTTTTATTGTCTTTATATGAAGATCATATTGGTTCTTTTAAATCGCCAAAGAAAACTAATAAATCAGTTTGGCTTCGAATAGCCAACGAGATGTCAAAGCGAGGGTATTTATTTACAGGAGATCAATGCGATTTAAAATTTAGGAACCTAAAAAAGACCTATAAAAGAATAAAGGATAATAATAAGTCATCAGGAAGAGGGGCAATTGTGTGGCCTTATATGGACATGTTTGAAAGAGTATTTGGGAGTGCACCTGACATAAATCCCAAGGCAACTGTGTCAACATTTGCCACATCATTAAATACTTTAAAATCAGCAAACCTTTCAACAGATAACCATTCAGTTGTATCATTACCTTATCTCTCACCTTCCACAAGTTCGGTAGGATCACCTGGTTCTTCTACGCAAGTAGAAAATAGCAATGAAAGCGAGGTAAGTTAATATTATAACACAATTATAGGTTTTAATAATTTTATGCATGGTACTTCAGTGTCCTGAACCTGTTCGTAATAAACGTCGAAAAATGTCAAATGAAGAACCTGCGTGGGTATCGACTCTAAGAAAAGAGGCCAAGGAACGTCATGATGAAAAAATGACAATGTTACGGGAGTTAATAGGACTTCTTAAAAAAGAATAAAAATATTTGATTTTATTAAAATGAAGTTGTGAAATTTACAACTAAACTTAATGTATTTGTTAATTAATTCATTAATAAATCAGCAATATATTCCCTTTTGCCCACTTTTCTAAAATCTTCATCTCCATTATTATAATAATCATCTTTATCTTCAAAGGTATCAACATCAATTTCATCATTGTTTTTCATACATATATTGTGCAACACACAACATGCCAAGATTAAATCAGGGATAAGTTCTACATTGTACATATGAACATGTTTTAAAATTCGAAACCGCCCTTTCAATAAACCAAAAGTTTGTTCCACGTACACTCGTGTACTAGAATGTTTGAAGTTGTAATTTTTTTGTTTTCTGCTCAAATGGCCGTTGTCACGATATGGTGTTAATAAGTAATTAGAGCACTTATATGCAGAATCTCCTAAGATATGTGTATTGTTGGGAAACAATTCACCAGGATTTTCTCTCATTTTTGTACCTAATGGAGAATTGTAGAAAACTCTTGCGTCATGGACGCTGCCTGGAAAACCTGTTAATATATGAAATTATAAATATCCGTATAATAACAGTAATAAAACTCACCTGCAAAAACATCGAGAAACATGTAGTTTGCATCACAAACGCCTTGTAATATTATACTGTGTTGGCCCTTTCGATTACAATAAGAACCTTGGACATTTCTAGGGGGTGTAATTAAAATGTGACACCCATCTATGGCGCCAATAACTCCTGGAAAGTTCTGACGCTCTTTAAATTTCTCACTTATATTATTTGCTGTAGCACCTGTTGGCCATGAAATATAAATGGAGGACACCTCTTTTAAAGCTTCTGTTACTTTCCGAACATATAACCACGCTGTTGATTTAGAGATGTCAAATTTGTCAGATAATAGTCTGTAAATATTATACGAATTTTTATTCACGTTTAATTTACTAACCTGTACACTGTTTGGTTTGAAAACATGGTTAGCGATACTAGGAGTTGCAAATCAGGCGAATGGCAATGCCGTCCTATCCCTTGTACATTACGTTCTTTTAGAGATGGCCCCAAAACTTGCACCAAATTTTCAAAAGTAATTCTACTTATTCTAAAGTGGCTTTTGAAATCTATAAGTTTGAAATGGAATAATAAATTCTACACGTTGCTAATACATACCATCAAAACTGTAAGCGCGCACTATATTTTCTACATAGTTTCTAATACACACACGAGATTTACGTTCAATCGAGTTATAACTACTACAAACTATTGCAATTAACTCATCATCACTATCATCATCTAAAACTTCATTAAGTACTCCAATAATTACGTTTCTTTTCAAGTTATCCATTTTGTAGAGGTTATGGATTTGAAAACATTTAAATCAGCTGCTGCCTTTGCGTTCGGCAAATATATGGTAAACGGTATGCAGTGGTGCAATCAGCTGGTTACCGCATTGCACCAGAAATTATCTACCGGTATAATTATCGTAAATGCCTTATGAAACTACTACCTATACCCACTATTTAATAATATAATATAATATTTAAATGACTATACCTATACACCACTACTTCGGATTTGTTGCCCTAGCTGCTCTCTGCGGTCCGTGCTTTAGCCAATTTTTCATGCAGTTTTCTATTTCTGCTATAGTTGAATTTTTTGACTGGGTCTGAACAGCATCTAAAACAATTATGCAATTATAACTCTAAATTAGAACACTAGCGTTAGTTTGTTTATTGGCCAAGATATATAATATAGCTACAACTGTTTACAATTTGGTCAGACATCAGCCATCTGATAAAGTTAATTATCGTAAAAGCAATTATAAGCACCAAGTTCTGTTTAATGCACAGTTTAAAAAATGTTTATGATTTTGAAAACGGAAGTTTTTTTTAATGCTACAACAGATACAATATGAATATTTTAAACCTGTATAAATATATTAATTTTCTCAATTTATTATTATTTAATACAATCATACTTACTGACAACAATTTCCTTTAATTTTAAATTCCCAAACGCCTTCTTTTTGTTTTTTCCAAAAAAATTAAATTCACTTGCCAAACTATCTTCCATTAAGGTTTTTAATATTTTATTGGTTATGGAAACAACTCCATTCCCACCCAGTTTGGAAAGTTGCATTACCTAAGATACAGAGTTGAAAACAAATTATTTTACAATAAATTATGTAAATGCCTACCAATCGTCTTTGAAGACCTATATCGGAAGATATTAGGTTTTCCATTTGCTCCACATCTTCAACGGTATGTAATGGAAACTGAAATTCATCTCCAAATGTAACGTCCGCTAAAGGATGATGTTGTTGTTCCAGAAGTTTTAAAATTTTTTTGTTCTGTTCATAAATTTTTAGGACATGCGGTAGACATGAACACTCTATGAATAGCATATTATTAGAAATGTAGCCAATATTATTTACAAATACCTTTAAGATCACCTTGACTATTCTCCACAGTAGGAGTACTAAAACGAACATTTGTTCTTGATGACGGGGTTATTTGTGGGGTTGATGGGCATTCATTTTGCCTTATAAAACCATTTTCTTGGCCTAGAAAAGTATGCATACATTTTATTCACTGTAAAACTCCTGCGCATTTAGTAAATAGGGTATGTAACGTACCATTACTAATCTGCTTGGAAAATTGCCAATTATTACGAGGTGGTCTTTCATCGTTAGTAGAGGTATCGTCTTGATGATCGCTCTCTGCGCTGCCACAATCTTCCTCAATCAAACGTGACGGTTTTGTGCGTGCCCTTTTTCTCGGAGCCTTCACCTCATCATCCGACTCAGTATGTAGATCAGATGTAACTTCTACCTTCTTCAATTTCCTTTTCGCAACTTCAATATCATCTAAAGAAAATATGTTGTAAAATCTAATGTTCTAAACAAATGATGGGTTTGTTCCTACAAGGTATCGGAGACTTGTTAGTTTTACTGTTGGAACACAAAAAATGCAAATGCGACAATTGTCGGTTTTCGACTAATGTAGAAACAAACCTGAATTCAACAAATTCAAGTCAATAGGTATAGCCCTTCCTTCATATTAAGGACGTCGCTAATCCGTACCTATTCGCTTTTTTAGCATTTTCTTTTCTCACATTAAATAATATTGACCAGGTCAACAACCTTCATACATGAAAGTAATGGAAACATGCAACATAAAAAATGTCTGTAGGTACATACCAGTGTAATAAAATACACGTTTAATTTTATATAAATTCCAGCTGCTGGTATTAGATTGATCGCAAGTCAAAATTTTGTAAAATTTTTCTCGATCTTTCGTCGGCGGCCAGTACGTTTCGCGTTTACGTGGTGTCAGCCATGCCGTGTTTACAATAGCCACGCCGTCATCGTCGTCAAATTCCACGATTGAAAACATCTAGGAATTGTAATAATAAACTTTAAATTTTAAGTCAATTTAAACTTACTAAATTTGTTTACCTATGTCCAAATGTTCAATTCCAACAACAAAATAGCCACTCGCCACTTAACTACAAGGACTCGTTTCACGTTTGACAAATCTGAATATTCTGAAATAGGGATCACATTCGCGTTTTCCGGTTTGTTATTTGTGCGCATGCGCAACGTCCGATACTGATTTAACTTCATCTTTTATTGGATGTAGGCAAAAAGGCACATAATTATTCTGTAGATGTAGGATGTTTGGAATAAAAATGACTGCAAGGAAAAACTCTTCATTATTCTACTTTAGCATATTATTACATAATCGTTCCATTAAACAATAACGTCTCTTTCACGTCGTTTTTGCTGTGTTCACAATTACGTCAGCTTTTATGACGTACAATGAATGTAGTTTTAGTGACGTCATCAACGGATGACCGAAAGACGACGTTACTAAACCGTCACCTGACGTCATGTGGTTGACTGGGAAGCGGAGTACGCGATGAGAGAATTAAAAATAAGTTGCTCTATGACGGAGAGCTAAGTTTGGAGAAGGCAATTCAAATTTGTAAGGCGGCAGAGCAGGCAAAAAAAAGTATTCAAGAATAGGGTCTTCCTGAAAAAAAAAATTGTAACTTTTTTGTGTCTTACTGTAAAGTTTATAACCTGTAATTAAACATCTCGTATACAAAACTTTTTTTTCTAATTGCAACATGTCAGGAAACAACATACAATATCGTAAAATTTTCAATGGACTTGTAAATTTGTATCATCAATTATATTGACCATCCCCATACCAATTATTAAGAGTTATAACATACACCAGCAATCCAGGGGCCGAGTAAGAGGCAGGGTAGCAACCCACACCAAGGGACGCGCCAGCGGAGCAGCACGAACCAGGGTACCGACCAGCATGAAAGAGAAGGCAACAAAAGAGCTGAGGCAAGGTGCAACAGCTGTGGCAATGGCGGTCATACCTTTAAATTTTGTAAATACAAGAAATACAAATGTAAAATTTGTAAGCAGGTGGGCCATTTAGCTAAGGTTTGTAGGGCTGGTAATAACTATGTAGAACCAACCACTTCTCAAGGTGAGCATGGACTTAATTTAGATTTTATTGATATGTATTTTGTGACTGCTAACAAATATGTTAAACCTATTAAAATTGAAATGGTTATTGAAGGCAAACTATTGTCAATGGAGCTTGATTCGGGAGCAGGAATATCAGTTTTGCCAGAAGCTGTTTACAGTAGTCAATTTAAAGATTGTAAACTCTGTTCAACTAATGTTAGGTTAAAAACTTATGACGGTAACATTATAACTCCTTTGGGAGAAATTTCAGTAACAGCTCAGTATGGCAATATTTCAGCGAAATGCAGGCTAATAGTTATTGTTGTGTTTCAGTATGTAATAATTGTAGAATGCAGCAGTTTTATTCAAAAATACAAGAAGTAATAATTATACAAAATCATGCTTGAGACGTGACGCTTACACCCGTAATCGTACAAAACTGGAAAGTAAAAATCCCTAATTCTAAACTAAGCAGTGGCGTAACACCCTCTCCCCACTTGAAATATAAGAACAGTTATTAAAGCAGTACACAATATGAAAGAACAATATAAAATATGACATTATCTTATAAGTCGAGTCGATCAGGAATTTTCCTGGTACGTTGTGATCTACGTAATGGCACATTTGATTCGTGAGCCTTTGCTAAGTGTGAAGGATCAATATTTTGGTCTGATTTGGAAGTGTCTTTAACTTCTTCACAAATCGGTACATTGTTAGTAAATGAAGTATCGACAGGATTCGAAATATCTGTATTTGATTCATTATTAGTGTTAGTTAAAGTTCCGTCTGAAAATGATGGTAGAGTAATTTGCATATTTGGATTAAATTGCTTGGGGATTGCATCGCCAATTTTACGAATTTGATTAGTGTGTCTTTTGAAAGTATTTCCTTCATCAGTCTCAATTAAATAGTGTAATTTCCCTAGAACTTGTTTTATTCTTCCAAATTGCCATTTGGAATCTTTCTGAATATAGTTCTGATAAGCGATTCTGTCATTTACCTCGAACGAACGTGAGGTTTCCCAATTATTCTTCTGAATGATCGGAGATGGTTTTATAAGATCTAAACGCGACCTGATTTCTCGACCGTACATTAGGTAAGATGGACTTACTTTTGTAATGCAATGTGGGGTTTTTCTATAATTGAGTAAAAATTTGTGTAACTCTCTCTCATGGTCAAACATATTCATTCTTGCAACTTTAAGTTTCGACAACGTATTTTTGACCGTTTGTACATACCGTTCGGCCAACCCATTAGTAGCAGGATGATATGGAGCGCTATTATATTTATGTATCACCCCGTTCACACGTAAGAATTGTTCAAATTCGTAAGATCTCAACTGTGAACCATTATCACTAACGACAAATTTCGGTGTCCCGAATCTACTGAAAATCTCTCTACATACGCGTATAGTGGATCTAGCCGTTGTTGTGCTACCCCACTGAGTTGCACTGCGAATTTTTTGTGTAGGACTTATGGCGAAATAATGGAAAGAATGAAGTTCGGATTGAAGTTACGTTTTATTTGGTACACATTCATTAGGTAATATCTTCCACACACAGGTTACATGCAGGTTACAAGTTTTACGTTTTTACCATTTCGAAGTTTAAGATGGACTGCCTTTAACATAATCACGTTACCTTTAGTTTGAATTAATGGAAAGTAGTTTCAATAAAATAATTATAGTCATTTGTAAAATGGTATAGTGTGATTAGATAGGATAGTCCTCTATCCTACTTTCTAGTATAATTCCAGAAAATGCTGAAAGTCTTATCTTAGCTGAAACAGCTTCGTAACAATATACATCACTAGTTATCAATGAAATCAAATATTAAGTTAGATATCAAAGCGATTAAATGAAGATTTCTAGGGAAATCTAGTGCATTAAAGGCACTTCCCATAGTCAACTATATGCAGGTGCGATAGGTGGATAAACCGTGTGAAGCGCGGTTTATCACACCCTAATATCTTTGAGAATATGTACTTCGGGCCAACGTGTATAACAGAGCTGGGGAGGATTCGAATCACTTAGGATTCGAATCCTTTTGGAGGATTCGAATACAGTATTCGAATACTCTAAAAGAAAAGGATTCGTGATTCGGATTCATGACACCATTACAAAAGGATTCATATTCGAATCCTAACAATGATGATGCGAATCCTTTTGCGTTTGCCCTTCCGAGTGCGCCCGCGCATGTTGCTTCCTCGTTCCTCGTGTGTTCAGTTGCTTTTTGTTTTTTGTACATTTTGGCATTGAATAAAAACATTAATTTTGTTCCGGTTCTACAATCTACAACCAATTAGCGTAGCTCCTTCTCTTAAACTTTGGGTGAGTTTTGTTTCTACGTTATTTACGTAATTCTACGAAATCCTTCACTCAGCGTTTAGTTTGTACCTGAAAATGTTAACGATTCGATGTGACATTTCCGCGAATTCAGTTACGTCCAGTCACGATAACGAAAATTGATATCACAATTCACAAACATAAACGTTCTAGGTTATAGCGGTTCAGTTTTAATGCTGAGAATTCAAAACTGGCGTGGTCAAGTTTAATTGATATTTTATTTATAATTTTATTTTTTTTTACTCTTTTCATCAAATGTGGAATGTGGATAATAAAATACTAGTCTGTCACACAAAAATGCGCTGAAGTCCCTTCGATCTTACACGAGGATTTTTCTAATTTTCTTATATTGCTTTTGCTTTATAAGTATAATTTCTTATTTCAACTGAAATATGAACTCCACAACACTACTTCTGTGAGTCCAAAATCTAAAAACACGCACTTTTCATTTGTAGGTATTATAGAAATCTACAAGTTAATTTGCAATTAAACGTATGTATACTAAAAGTATATGCCTACCAATTACCAAACAATATTCGAAACATTGCACTACACTATCGAAGGTTTTTTTTTCAAATAATCATTACATAACAGTAGGTTCTATTCGCAGTATTATTTATTTTCATTTTTTCTGGGTCCCAGTATTGCCCCTGAAGTGCCGATAATGTCAAGTAGAGGAAAAAAGATGGTCGATTTGACATTGGCATCATCATCATTAGATGCCGAATACATGGCGATGTCTGCTGATGCTGATGTGTCTCCTCAAATAAACATTATAAAGAAAATAGCAAAGAAGACCCCTTTGCCAACGATCCATCATATTCTACCCCTAGGTAATACAGCTCGAGCTCGACAGATGACGAGTTATCTACAACACGGAATAAAAAGAAGAGACCAATAAAGTTGACTGATTTTTTTAGAAAAAATGAAAAAAAAGGTGACGATGTAAATCTTTCGGAGAAAGAAAATGTAGAAAAGACTGTCAACGAGCCTGGTAGATGTGAAAGTGTTGCAATATTGGACGGTAAATATTTTAAAGTGATAAAACTAGAAAATGATCACGTTGAAGCTTCTGGCCAGTTGTGCTTACCCAACGTGAAACACATTAAAGGAAAATTACAATCATCATCAAATTTTGTGAGGCACTTAAAAAGAGTGCATCCTGAAAACGTCAATGGTTACAATTCTTATAAAAAAATTAAAAAAGATTCACGAATTAAAATGCGAATCGACAACGAAAGCGAAACTAATAATGTATTAACGCCAACATGTAGTAAACAACCGAAATTGATGCAGCCAACGCTAAAAAACGTTTTGAACAAGGCTACTGAAAACCCATTTAGTCAAGCTAATTTTGAAGATCGCATTCAAAATTTTGTGTTGAGTACAATGTCAGCCCTAAATATCATCGAACATCCGAGTTTTTTAGCACTTTTCAAGGGCATGAATGTGAAAGTGCCATCTAGAAAGACGCTAATGAAAAGGATAAGCGAACATCATGAACTAAATATGTGTGATATTAAACAGAAACTATCAAATATTGACTTTGTGAGCACGACCGCTGATATTTGGTCCAATAAAAGGAGAAGTTTTCTCGGAGTGACTGTACATTGGATTGAGGAAGACTTAACCAGAGGGTCGGCTGCAATTGCTTGCAAACGATTTATGGGGACTCATTCGTATAGAAATATTGCAGAAATTCTTGAAAACATCAATTTTAAATTTGGTTTGACCCAAAATAAGATCGTTGGAACGATCACAGACAACGGAAGTAACTTCGTTAAGGCGTTCAAAGAATTTCATGCAGATGAAGATAAAGACCTAGAAGAAGAAGATGTGTTTAGTATCGTCAACGTTGATAATGAAGATCCATTAACAACGGAATCATTTTCCTTGCCGAAACATGTCCGCTGTGCAAGTCACACCCTCAATCTAATCGGTACAACAGATTACAAAAACTTCCTAGGAACAAATACACTCCTACGCACGAGGCATACTAATGCGTTCTTTAAATGCCGCCTGCTTTGGCACAAGGCTAATAGGCCAAAGTCAAACGAAATAATCCAAAACATTTTGGGACACACACTTAGCAGCCCGGGTGTCACTAGATGGAATTCTACTTATGATTCCGTAAATCAAATAATACAAGAAAAGCGTAAACTCGCTACCCTGTCCAGAGCTCTTGAATTAGAGCCATTTAAAGATACGGAACTTTTATACTTGGAGGAGTACTGTGCAGTGATGAAGCCCCTTGCTGATACACTGGACTTTTTACAGGGGGAAAATAATACGTTTTTTGGGTTTCTGTTACCAAGTTTATTATCTCTGTCCAATCGGTATGAAAAAATGCTACAATCCCAAAGATTTATGGTGACCAAATAACGCAAATGTGTTTAGATAGCCTCAGGAAAAGATTTTCGGACCTCTTGAATTTAAGATCTAAAGAAGCTGTGTTTGCTGCTGTTTTACTACCCCAATTCGAATTTAGATGGTACAATGTTGTAAAACATCCTACTATAACAATAGACGATATAAAAAAACAAATTGTGGAGGTGGCGGAAAAGATAGATCGCGAAGGAAATACATCTCCGAACTCACACCAGGATGATGCATTAGAGTCATTAGACGAATTTTTTGACTTCAGCGGAACCGGAGACAATGGGTCTATGTTTACTGTCGTCGATGCACGTGAACGTTGTGAACCTACATCTGCGTCTAGGTCTACAACAACTAAGATTGAATTAGAGCTACTGCGGTATTTGGAGGACAAAGCATCTAATATACATAGTTTAAATGAATATCCTCGGCTAAAGAAACTCTCGACCCAATTCAATACATGTCTGCCGTCGTCCGGACCAGTGGAAAGACTGTTTTCATTTGCAACCATAATCGATGCACCTCGCAGAAATGGTTTAACTGATGAGAATTTTGAAATATTAGTGCTATCTAAAGCTAACAATAAATAAGTAACTTGTGCGTCTTTGTTCTTTTTATTTCAATAAAGCTACACTTTTTGTGTTTTTTGTCCTTTAGTAAGTCAGCTTTGATTTTTTACAAACAAATTATCTCCGGTGTCCAAAAAATGATTCGCGTACATGATTCGAATACTTGGCAATCTCGATAGTGCATCTGTGTTTGCATGCTTTTTGGTATTGCGATATCGAATTTCGTATTTGAATGCTTGTAAAAAGATAGCGTAGTGTTGCATTCGTGTAGCAGTTAGAGTAGGTAAACTACGTTTTGGGTTAAAAATTTGCACTAACGGTTGATGATCTGTAATTAACGTAAAATATCTACCGTAAAGATTTTTTTAAATTTCGCGGTGTAATCAACAGCTGTGAAGGTATGTGAGAAAGTTTGCCATTGCCAACATAACGAAAAGTATCCAAACGTTATTTGCGCAGAAAAGTGTTATGGTGCTAATAAAAGTAAGTACCTAAAAAATTAACAGAAAATTGAAAAAAAAAATTATGAGTTTAAGTAGGCGTAATAGTCCCTCTTGCAAGTCGATTTGTGCGTAAGATAGGCTATTATTGAAATGGAGTTTATTTTCAAATATAACCTCAACTAGATATTAATGTTTTGTTTACATTGATTGAACCAACCATACAAAAAAAAACGCGCATTTTTAAAAAATTGCAACTTCTAGGGTTATATGGAACGATATGCCGCGAAAACACAAACATATGTTGGGCACCGAACATCGGCGGAATTATGATCTGAATAATTTGGAACTGGCTTTAGAGGCT